CAAGAGTCCTAATCAAAGGGAGTCTCCTTGCTGAATAGGGAGACTTCCAGTTCTATCTTGCTAAGGATAAGATAAGCTAATCCTAATCTGATAAGCTACTAACAAGATAAGATAAGCTAAGCTAATCCTAATCTGATAAGCTACTAACAAGATAAGATAAGCTAAGCTAATCCTAATCTGATAAGCTATTAACAAGATAAGATAAGAGATAAGAACAAGCAAAATGAGCTAATCTAATATAGATAAGGCTGCCGTTGCCGAACTGGGTAGGATGAGCATCACTGAATCCGTGCTGCTGCTGGCGGTGGGCCCGGGGCCTGTTGTTGCCGGCGGCGATGGTACGTCTTCCCGAGGAAGGCATCCATAACAGACCAACATTGGGTAATGGCCCTTTTTTTTCATGACCTATGGCAGGTTGTACTTTGGCAGCCGATTTTCTGATAACCCTGGCTCAGATGGGATCAGGAATCAAATCTCAGATGTGGAAAACAACATTTTTCAAGGCCTTCAGTGGCCTGATTGGAGAGAACATTTCTAAGATGGAGGAGATGGCCTTCTCTCATGGCCTTGGAGGACCCATAGTTCAGTCACTTGAATCATTTATGACAAAAGGGGAACCACATAACACCATCAACTGGGGCAATTAGGCCAGCAAGGATCACATGTCATGTCCCTGTCCCTTGATGCCCTTCATTATCAGAAATGCATTTCTTCTAGGGTGGATAATTCAGCTGATGAGCAAGGGGTGGAATTGTGTGGTAACTCTTATTCCTGACGCAAAGATTCCATAGCTGAAATGGTTTCTACATCTTGAGGGATGGACTCACATCTTTTGGCTGATGTCCATCTGTTTTTGGCTACACAAATATGGGAGTGGGGATGAGGAGGGTAAAGGCAGGATTCAATCCCAGGTCAGTGGGTATCCACTGACTTCACCAGCTGGCATTAGTTTATGCCTATTGGTTTTATCCTTCCTGTTTTCCAATTAATATAACTGTGTTTACTGTCCACTAAAAGAACAACAAGATGAAAAGAAATTACAAACAAGTTGGATAGATGAACAATATTACCACTTCTGGAAGCTGTCATTGTGCCCCAACATAGGTTTCTATATGGCTCTTATTAGCATGTTCTCATATGTACAACATTGCACAATAATTGGACTATGCCTTCACAGAGAACATGTGGTTGTGAACAGAAAGACAAGAGGCTGAAAGGGGAGGAATATGGAGCCATATTTAATTGCCATTAACCCATTAAAACAGAGTAATACATTGGGAGAAAATTGGGATCAACCACCTTAAGTACATGAATAATGCATACATGATTAGCATGGTAACGAATAGTGGTAAGCAGATAACTAATCTTTGTATAGAAAGTTGGTAAATTTTCCACACACCTGGCAAAACAATCACACATTCCTCTTTGGCCAGCTTGTAGCAGAAGTCTATATCATCATTTATGTCTTCTAGAAGTGACAGATTCAGTTTCACCTGCATTGCAGAAGGATAAATAAGAAAGTTTACAATGTATTTTAAAAAACACATCCCAGGTATCTCTATGTCCTCACCATTAGAAACATGGAACCCTCTGGTTTTTGGGGGCAAGTAATGCAATCAATCTCCTTTATTTTCTCGTAACAAATATCTGAAGACTGCCTCAATATATTTATGATCTTCCTAAAGAAATCCTTATTAGTCTTTTCAAGGATTTGAGGAAGTGCACCCTGATGCATCAAACATTTCATTAAACAACATTAAAGAAAGGTAAGAATGTTTGCATTGCCATGCTAAATACGTGAACTAAATTTACCAATTCGAGCTTAAATTTGGATATTTTACCCATGCAAGGAACCATGACTACAGTTGTTCAAAGTCATTCTTCCCAAAGTCATGATAGATATGAAAGTGGTATTGCTAAGGAACATGCCAGATGCTATAAACATTGATCTTAAAAACGATTTAACCACTAATAAATACTATTGTACTTCGTATACTGATTATTAAGAAGAAATTGTCATAGGAAAACAAATTTACTGAAAGAGAAATATACATACATATATGTATATGTCTGTATTGTTGGGGAGGGGTTCTTAGGTTTTCAGTATGATCAATAAATTTCTGTTAGAGCCCCCACAGAAAATCTAAGTTATATCTGTAATTGCCCACTCTCAATTCCCTTAATTATTAGGAATTGTAGTTGCCACATTTCAATTATCAAAGAAGTTAATCATATTTTAGAAATCCTGGAAACGTGGGGCACAAAAAGAAGAAAAAGACCAGATTTTCCTTTTCTCTCAATTTTGAGCTGGCCAATCTAGTTAGTGCATCAATTTTCCTTCTCATACTCAAATGCTCAGACCTTCTCTCAATTTTCCTTCTCCCTTTGTATGTCAGTTTTTTTTTTTTTCGAAAAGGTATGGCATCATTTTATTAATTGGTGTTCTGACAGACTTCATCTAGCTGTGAGGATTTGCCATTAAAGACCCTGATTTTTTTTTTTTTTTGAGAGAGAGAGAGAGGTAATAAGAAAGCAGAAATGTACATAAGAGAATGTACACTGCAAAAGGATAACAAAAGGCCCATGCAAGAGTCAAGACAGTCAAGTATTTCTACACAAATATTCCCTAGCTTTAGCAAGATTATCAGCTAATGAATTTGTTCTCTTGGAACCCATCTCAAAGTTGATTGCAAACTGTAGATGATATCTCTAGCTTCAAAAAGATAGTGTCAATTCTCTAAGGTCCTATACCTTGTAGGCCTAACCACTTGATAATATTTATTGAGTCTCCCTAACGACAAAAGACCCTGCTGTTTCTTTCCATCCAGATGCATCAAAGAGTAGCTGCATATTAAAGACCCTACTGTTTCTCTTCATACGTCTGTTGGAGCAAACCTACTTCCCGTTCTCCATTGAAAGAGGTAAGATTATATTTATCCAATACAGCTTCTTATGTATTCAATCTTCTATACTTATGTTAACTATATCCATTTACTGATGGGATTAATCATATAACTCTAAGAACTTTTTAAGCTTATTTTATTGTTAGAGTTTAATTGATAACATTGTATTCCAGATTCTTTGTTATTATATAATCTTTGATTATATCCAAGACATTTACTTCCTGCTTTTGATCTACTCCTTTTCTTTAAGTCTATATCCTTCCATAGACGTTTGTACAACCTAACCATTGATTTTAAGATTTAAACTTTATATTATATTTAAAGATAAAAAACTAAAAAAATGAAAAATTCCAATCACATAACTAAAATAATATTTATTGTAATTCACTTAATTAATTAATATATATATATATATATATATGTGTGTGTGTGTGTGTGTACGATCAATATTGAATTTATATACAATGGCCCCTCAAGGCAAATTCCTGGTTCTGTCTATCTGCAGACACAACTTTTGGCAAGTGAAATGGATAAGGGTTCTTGGATCTTGGACCTATGAGAACTGGGTGTTCATCCTGAAAACCGAAGATTTAGCCTCTACTCTATGCATATTTAGGGGGAAAAGATTCATAAACAACCCTGCCTAAAAAACACATCCACTAAAAGGCAATCTTCCAACCCAATGGAAGAGAAAGCTTTAGAAAATGGACCAAGCATATGTCCTATGTTCGATAAGAAACTGCAAAGTACAACAAACAATCAACCAAATGCATGAAAAACTGGACCAGGTAAAATTTTACCTGGTTCAGTGGTTCTACTAAACAAATGGAGAATAAGAGAGTAGGTTGTTATGAATTATGATGTTGATATTGAAGCCTTGAGTTCCTTCTTATATTTGACGCACTGATTCCATATCGGTATGGGATCATTAGCATATTGTGTGCATCAAATAGTTTACATCCAGAAGCTCCTAAAATTTACTAAAGAACAGAATTAAGAAGCATTAATTAAAAGGGCAGCCCAGTGCATGAGGCTCCCACCAATGTGGGGTCTGTGGAGGGACAGATGTAAGCAGCCTTACCCCTTGCAGACACATAGAGGCTGTTTCCAAGATTTGAACCCTTGTTGCCCAGGTCGTAATGGAGCAACCCAACTGTTGCACCAAGGCCCACCCTCAATTAAGCAACCTTAGTTATCCAACAAAAAACTTATGGTAGTATTAGAAATAAAATTTTGAAGGATACATATGTTCTTCAAATTTAAACTATAATTAGATACAAACCTGAATAAAAGTTACAGGGTCAGAGGAGATATTGAGACAACCTTTAATGCCGTCAACAATCTGAGAAGAAAGGCAAGGGAAGTTAGAATTGGTCATGCATAATTTCAAGTGTCAACAATGAATACAATGAAAATTGGCATATCTTTATTGCCTTCTCCCTTTTAGTCCTTTAAAAGAAGATACAGAGCATGTTCTACGTAAAAATATTCATTGGTGTGAAGGAAAATTACAAGTACAAAGTATAATTGAATATTTCAAGTGAACAGACATTTCATCTCCCCTAAGAATTTATTTATTTCCTAACAATACACAATGACTGCCTGAACACACTGAAAGGAAACAGAGCTTGACAGGTGATGAATTATATTACAGATACCTGGATAGCATCACATAATGGATGGATGAAACCCCCATACTGTGAATGATCCTTCATATTTGTTACAAAAGATAAATGCATGCATGTTAATCAAGTCATAATCCCTGATCAGCAACCCAAACACTAAATCCTCTTCACCAAACAACAGCAGCAACAACAATCCCCATACTGTGAATGATCCTTCATATTTGTTAAAAAAGATATATGCATGCATGTTAATCAAGTCATAATCCCTGATCAGCAACCCAAACACCAAAGCCTCTTCACCAAACAACAACTGAAAACAATGCAAGAAATTGGAAATGAAATCCGATAATGAATGTATTCAGAAGATAAATATTTATACAGTTACAGAGCAGATGGAGCCACTTGTCTAATAGACTTCTAACAGACTCCCACTTGTCTAACTGTTCCAGAACATTCTTTGTAACAAATTTAGAACTGTCCAGCTGGCTAGTCTAATACCCCCCTCTCAAGTTGGTGCATGAAGAAGAGTTGTAATGCCCAACTTGCCCGATAAGAAGGTAAATTGATCAATACCCAGAGCCTTGGTGAATAAATCTGCTAGCTGGAACTTGCTAGATATGTGAAAGGTCTGGATATCGCCACATTGAATGTGTTCACGAATGAAGTGGCAATCTATGTCGATATGCTTTGTTCGTTCGTGAAATACGGGATTTGCTGCTATATGGAGGGCTGCTTGACTGTCACAATGGAGTTGCATTGATACTGTAAACGGGATGTCTAGGTCTCGGAAAAGGCGTTTCAACCATAATAATTCAGTGGTTGCTACAGCCATGACACAGTATTCAGCCTCAGCCGAGGACCTAGAACCATGTGTTGTTTCTTCATCTTCCATGAAATGGGCGAATTGCCAAGCATGATGATGTATCCCGTAGTAGAGAGGCAAGTGAGTGGGCAATTGGCCCAGTTAGAATCACAATAAGCCTTCTATATGAAGTTATTATCAGATGGGAGGAGAATGCCATGAAGCAGTGAGGACTTAAGGTATCAAAGAATGCATAGAGCAGCATCAAGGTGCTCTTGACACGGGGCACTCAAAAACTGAGAAAGTACATGGACAGCAAAGCTGATTTCTGGGTGGGTAATGGTGAGATAAACCAATAGTCCAACAAGACGGCGATAAGACGAAGGATTTGTAAGGAAAGGACTTGAATCATCAACAAAATGCCGTTGTTGTTCCATTGGAGATGAACACGGCTTGCAACGCAGCATGTTGGTTTCTTGTAAGATGTCCATGAGGTATTTGTGTTGGGAAAGAAAATTGCCCTTGGTAGACCGTTGGACTGAAATTCCAAGAAAATAGGTCAAGGTACCTAAATCTTTGAGAGAAAAGCAATTATTGAGATATTGTTTAAATGAGGCAATCAACTCAAGAGCATCCCCAGTGATGATACGATCATCTACATAAACTAGGACAGCCAGGTAATGACCATCATGTCATAAGAAAAATAACGAGTGGTCAGCAGCTGATTGGGAGAACCCATAGTCCCGAACAGCGGGGTGAATTTTTCAAACCACATATGGGAAGCTTGCTGAAGACCATACAGTGATTTATGAATCCTACAAACTCGACGATCACTAGTAGGGGTGTAAACGGATCGAATTCGAATCGGATCAGGTAATATCCAAATTCGAATCTGATTAGAAAATTCGATATCCGAATTCGATTCAATATCTGACGGATATTGAAAATTAATATTCAAATTCGAATCCGATTAAATATTTGAATATTCGATTCGATTTGAATTCAACTAATTAATTATTTTAGGCAATTAATAAATATATAAAATAAATATTTTATTTATATAAACATATAAATTATTTATATAATTTAATTATTATAGATATAAATTATATAAAACATTTAAAAATTTTATATATTATATATAAGAATTAAATAATCGATCAAATTCGGATATTTATCGAATTGAATCAGGTCATATCCAAATTCAAATCCCATTAGCTATTCGGTATGAATAGGATATCCAAATTCGACCGATTAGGTATTCAAATTATCCGAATTCGATTCGATTATACCAAATCTCGAATTTGAAATTGGATTTTCGAATACCGTTGACACCCCTAATCACTGGGAGAGGAGAAACCAAGTGGAATCACCATGTAAACTTCCTCATGAAGGTGCCCGTGCAAAAAAGCATTGTTCATGTCAAGTTGATGAAGTTCCCATCCTTTAACAGCAACAAGTGAGAGTAAACAACGAACAGTCACAAGTTTGGCAATCGGTGCATAAGTCTCGTGAAAATCCAAGCCTTCCACTAGGGTATAACCTTTGGCAACCAATCGCGCTTTATAGCAGTCAATAGTTCCGTCAGAATGGTATTTATCTTATAAACCCAACGTGAACCAATGGGTTTCTTGCCAGGTGGTAGGTCCACCAAAGTCCATGTATTATTTCTCTCTGATACTGTCATTTACCATAGCATGCTGCCAATTGGGGTCATTGACTGCCTCTGAGAAGGATTGAAGCTATGTATGAGAAGAGACATGGTTAAGGAATGTGACATGAGATGGGGAAAGTCCATCATAATGTAAAAATTGAGAAATATGGTGGGGTTCTAGTTATGTGGTTTGGGAGTTATTAAATATGTAGTCATGGAGCCGGATGGGTGGCTTACAAGTGCGTTGGGGTCTAGTGGATGGTTCTAGTAGGTGGAGTTCTAGTGAGTGTGTTGGTTCCGTGGACCCAATAGGTTCAGTGGGCATAGTGGTATGATGATTGTCAATGCAGCATGATGGTTCAGGAAGAATGATGTCATCAATGAGTGGAGGTAAAGAAAATGTAGGAGTGTTGGAAATAGTTGGTTGTTGGTTCTCAAAAGGGAATTTTGTCTCATAAAAAAACACATCCCGTGACACAAATATGTGCTTAGAAGATAGATAATATAGCTTGTATCCCTTTTGACCAAATGGATAGCCTAGAAATATGCATTTAGATGCACGATCAGCAAACTTGTCTTGTGATTTGGAGTGTTCATGGGTATAGCATAAGCACCCAAACACTCGTAAATGAACATAAGACGGTGATATGACCCAGAAATTTGACACGAAGTTCACAGACTTACAGCAGCGTTCACACACTCGAACATCAACAAAAGAAACTAGTATTCATTCAGCTGAAAACATTAACAGTTGGTCGGTTCTTCGAGAGACCGCCGGCTCTCCCAAACACTCACAATATTCTTTACTCCAAGAAAACATACCACCCCCATCCCCCAAAGCCCCTTCTTATACTCTACTGATAGCATAACTGACTCCCTCTATAAATGCCCAGCTGGCCTAGTTATAAATGCCCAAAAACTCTTTTTATTCATAACTGACATAGCTATAAATGCCCCAAGACTCACCTTATTCCCTCCAGCTATAATTGCCCTCATGTGAWTAATTGTTCAATTATTTCCCCCCCTTAGCTGATTGTTGACCTTTCCTCTTCCTGGCATTAATTGGGGCCTATCAGACGGCACCCAATCAAAGAGGACTTCATATGGTGATTTCCCTTGAAGTACCGGTGTGGGAGTGAAGTTGATAAGGTATGCTGCTGTCAATACACATTCCCCCCACAATTGAATAGGAAGAGATGCTTGAAAACGTAAGGCTCGGGCCACTTCCAAGAGATGACGATTCTTGTGTTCAACAACGCCATTTTGTTGTGGCGTGTCAGCGCAAGAGCGTTAATGCAGAATACTATGCTGAGCCAAATAATCTTGCAATGGGCTAGACACAAATTCACGTCCATTATCAGAACGGATCACATGTTGTGGACTGACTCCATATGGTTGCAGCGGATTGATTCAGAAAAGAAAAAAGAAAAGAAGATATCAGGCTACTTCACCGCTGGCTCTGATACCATGAAAACAAAGCAAGAAATTGGAAATGAAATCCGATAATGAATGTATTCAGAAATAAGTATTTATAGAGTTACAGAGCAGATGGAGCCACTTGTCTAACAGACTCCCGCTTGTCTAACTGTTCCAGAACATTCTTTGTAACAAATTTAGAACTGTCCAGCTGGCTAGTCTAATAGCAACAATAATAGATTGCAAGGTTAGCACTGAACTTTTGACCTAGGAAATCTGGCAGGGATAAAAAAAATGTCACTCTTAAACTCTTGAACAGGTAAATACTTGAGGAGCCAAAGGTAAGGGAGAAGAGAAAATCCCTACCCTCTAAAACGAAAAGAACTTTTCTCAACTAAGCATCTTCTGAATATGCTGAATGTTCTATGACAATGCCTACTAAAATATTAATCAAAACTAATTGAAGCAATACTTGATCATTGCCATTAAATGTTCTGAAAAGGAGTCAGATATACAAACCTTAGTCTTTTTAAGGATTTCACTTGGATCACTTGTCACAAGCCAACCAACTCTCCAACCAGGCACTATCCATCTCTTTGATATAGAGCCAATAGTAAGGACAGGAACTGTTGATCCAAATATTCCCATCGGCACAAAAGGTTTGCTTCCAAAAGCGAGATGATCATAAACTTCATCTGCAATCACCAGAATTCCACGTTTCTTTGCAGTCTCAGCAACCTAAACACAAAGGAACAGCAGATATTAACATCACATCCAACCGAATTTCTCCCTAAGATGCTAAATAAGAACCCAATTTCTCATCAGAAATAAGTATATAGACTAATGCCAGATCCTATACAAGTATATAACTCACCTTCTCCAAGTGTTGATAACTGAAGACATTCCCACAAGGATTTCCTGGGTTTATTATAACCATTGCAGCTGTGTTCTCATCTGCAAGCGCTTCTACGGCATCAAGATCAATCTCCCAACCCTTTTCAGGGAGAAGATCAAAATGCCGAACTTCCAGATGGCTAAAAGCTGCACGAGCTTCATAATACGGGAACCCTGGTCTTGGAAGCAAAATATTTGCACCAGGGCGAGCGAGGACGGTTAGAGAAATCTCAATGGCTTGTGTAGCACCAAGAGTGAGGAAAACATCGTCCGGTGATAGCTTGTATGGGAGATCAAGAGAAAGATATTCAGCAATGGCTCTGTTCAGGGAGAATAGTATACATCAATTAAAAGAGTACACCTCGTTGATACGTCTCTATTTAATTAGAACCATACAATTCCCAAATAGAACACAGTAGTATGTTAAGTTGTAAACCAATAGAAGAAAATCACAAATTTGCCTAAAAAGTTGGTTACCTTCTTGCAGGAAGAATTCCAACGGTGGGAGAATAATGATTGAACTTGGCGGAACGAACAGCCTCAACAATGGCGTCCTCGGCAACCTCAGACGTACGAAAGCAGGGAAACTTAGATGGATCGCCATGGCCGAGAGGGATGGTGGACCTAGGATCTTCAGGATCAACTGCCGCCATGACCATATTGAGAACGCCTCTAACGGTGATGCCTGAGGCTGTGTTGAGTTCCTGATTGGCTACGAAACCCCATCTCTTGGTCCCGTTCTTCATCCTCTCCTGCGCTTCTTGCCCTTTCGTAATCGTCGCTCCACCCGAAACGAAAGGCCTGGTTGTTTTTGTTCTTCCAAAGGTTTTAACGTGGCAGACGATGAAATTGTGAATACAGACGGTGACCGCAACGATCAAACTAGCACGACGACAATGAGTGGAACAAGTGTAATTTTGTCAGCATGGAAGTTCACAGCGGCCACGTAACTTTGTCTTGGTGCCCAACACCATACGCTGTTGAGACATTGGCCATGCTTTTAAGCTTTTGTTTTGTTTTTAGTCAAAATAAATTAAAATGTAATTACTAATTTATCTATTTTCATTGTAACGTCTCATTCCCAAAATTTTTCGGATACGTTTAACACGAACTTACCTCTCCCTCCACTCCATCATTCCCGCTATTATTCTCTTCCCCTCTCCCTCCCTACTGCCCCTTCACCTTCATTGACATCAAACCACGAAATTCATTCACTGTCATCGGAGACAATTCCGCACCCTCGCCGTCCCTCTTTCTTCTCTTCTCCTCCCTCCCCACCGCCCCTTCACACATGCATAGCAAATTGTACCCACAATTGAAGGCAACTCTGCAACTTCCCTCGCCACTCCAATTAATCTGTCCCTTCTTTCTATTCTCTCCCTCTCTCTCTCTTCCTCTGCAATACAACACTGCCATCGGAACTGCCGTTAGAACCGCCACTATCACAATATTGTCCCACTTTTGAGGTTAGGTTCTTGCGCCCACCATTTTTATCAGTAAAAAAAGACGCTGGTGCAAAAACAACATGCGTTAAGTTGTTAACGTCAATACCTACATGGTTATTATTTATATCAGCAAATTCAATATTCTCAAGTGTGTCGAGTTCAACTACAACAACATGGCTGGATGAGTTTCCATTGTTGGAATAGTTGAAGAGGTCTAGAGATTGGATTGGTAGAGATCCCGGGAGGCCTCTTGACGGCACGATCACGAAAGCCATTCCATTGCCACTTATATCTGAGTACTTGCACTGAAGGATGATGCCGAACACGAAACTGGTAGAGAAAGAGAAGACTCCACTGTACAATTGGTTCTTATCCATGCTAGACCACCCATGCTCAAATCAGTACCTCAGAAGCCATTGTATATGAAACCAGAATATTTTGAGTCTACAAACGACCCAACCAAAAGCATAAACATAGATAGCTCTGCAAGCTTAACAAACATGATCAATTGTGTTCTTGTTGATTAATGATGAGTGCCACAGTGCCTTTTGAGAACTAATACAAACCATTTTCTATCAAAAATAATAAGAAAAAGTTTTGTTGTCATCCAAGGGGCCTTTGTCTCAGTTTTCTCTCTAATATTCTTCATTGAAAAAGCAAATGAATTCCCCTATTTCAACCTTCGATTGTGCGAGTTTTCTTTGTAGCCAATAATAACCAAGTTGCAGTAGAAAAAATTGAGTAATTAGTTCTTACAGGGAGGCATGAGTTGCAGGTCGTCTTTTGCAACGGTGAGATCTGGGTTGTATGTTGATGTTGTATAGAGGTGGTGGGGCAAGAAAGAAAATGAAAAGCAGATTTATTGTTTTAAATAAATTTTGGAGTCTAGACCGCTAATACCGTCAAAATTCAAAAGAAAGAGGGGAGGGTGGCGTGTTCGGCTGTCAATGGATGGGACAGAAATTATTGTCCCTTGGGGACAGACCCATGGCTGAATTTTTATTTTGGACAAAGACCCTTTAAGTTTTCATTTTGCTAAAAATACCCCTGGCCGTTAAGTGAGATGATAATGTACATTAAATTACCAAAATATTCAACCTAATTTTTTCTTTATTTTTTCGTTTATTTTCTCTAGATGATCTAAAAACACTTCCATTTTCTTTGATCGAAACCAACTAAAATAATAAGAATCATTTCATGATACAGAAAAGCAAGTATCTTTACATTCTTTGTTTCATTTCACTTACACGAATGTCTATCCTCATCTTAAAATATAAAATTTATCTACTTCCTCCAATAAATTAAGAAAAATCAAAGAAAACCTTAAACTTATATCTATTAGAAAGAAACCTCTACTATTGCGGGTGTACATTGAATTCAATTAAAAATTTGTAAGAATCTATTAGAGGAATTGAATTGAAAAGAGTTTTTTAGAAAGCTAATTGAATCATAAATTGTTCAAATAAATAACAAAAGGGTAATTTAAAATAAAAAAATTAAATAATTAAATTTGAATCATTTTTGAGAACATCTCCCCTATTTGCATGTTACCATTTACGGGAAGATGTTCCTAATGTACAGTGCCGTGTGGGTAAGTGTGAGCATGATTCTTGTAGGTAAGAGATCTGAATTGTTAATGGAAGGAGTACTTATTTTAAAAAAATAAATAAATAAATAGCCGAATGAGAATCCTTTCTGAAGTTAATAAATGATCAAACACCACTGGAGGGGGTATTTCTTGCAAGGTGAAAGTTCAGGGGGTAATTGTTACTGACCCCAAATTTGTTAGCAATAAACTCTTGCCACGTCATGAATAACCAACCACTTGTGCTCTTTGTCTTCATGCTTATGTTGTAAATGCACATGCACACTCAAATTATGTTAGAAAAAACAAACATGTGGTTAGTAGACCTGTTCATGGGGCCTGGCCCGGCCCGATCCAACCTAAAATTAGACTTAAAATGGGTTATGTGATTATGTCCATTTGAATAATTTTTTTGATTTAAGAAAGTAAAACTGTGATTTAAAACATAAAAGAAAGGGAAAAAACCATCTTATAGGCCCATTGTTCATTTAAATAGGAAAAAAAAACCATCTGAATTTTTAATTCTAATTTGAATAGGGAAAATTGTAATTTTTTTTATTAGGTCGGGCTTTAGGCTCGGGCTTGGACTTCGAGCTTTTTATCAGGGCCAGGCTCGGGCCCAAGTTATAGGCCCGTTGGTCAGGCCAGGCTCGAGCTCGAGCCTAGCGTATTTCCATTAATGATGAGTAAAAGCCCGGTCCGGCCCGGCCCATGAACAAGTCTAGTGGTTAGTGTCATTTTTGTATTAAATTATATATAACACCATTTGGTCCTTCTCATCTCTCTCGATCTCTTACCCACCAAATCTTCGAGTTCACATTTGGCCACCACAGAAAGCACCCAAAAAACGCCTCACATGCACATCTCAGCGTGCATTCAAAACATTTTTTGTACTTGTCATTGGGAGATGTTCCCAATAGTCCAATACACATATGGGAAGTGTTGTGAGACACGTTTTTGGGGCGCATTCTGTGGGGGCAGATGCAACTTCCAACTCTTCCCACATCTCCACCCACAAGACACTTCACTACTACCCACCCGTGAATTGGGAACATCTCCCAATGAGATATGAAGCATGTTTAGATGGTGGATGGTAGTTGGTTAACTGGTTGAATGGTTCAGTTCATCGGTTTTTCGGTTTTTTAGTTTTTACAATATATTATAAAAATATATAATAAAACATTATAAATATATATAATATATTATATTTTAAATAATAAATAATATATTATATATTATAAATATATATAATACATATTTATTAATTTATAATGGGAAATTGTCTAAAACTCACCATGTCAGCAAGTTTTTATTTTCCAAAAACTCACCTTCCATTAGTGCACCGTTAATGCTTTTTAACAGAGGTGTCCATGTCAGCATAACTAACAATTTTCATGACCAAATTACCTTTGAATGGTGAGTTAGAGGAAAAATGGTCTATTTCAATTTTTTATTTTCTTATTTTTTGCTTTTTTTAGTGTTTTGTTATAATTTCTGTTTTTTTACATTTTTCTATATTCTATAGTCTATAACTTTCCTATATTTTTTGTTATTTATTTGCAATTTTTGTGTTTTTCTATATTTTTTTTTTTGTTTTTGTACAATTTTTTATTTTCTGATTTTGTTTTTCATTTTCTATAGTTTCTATAATTTGAAAATATTTTTTTTTATTTTGTTTGCATTTTTGATAGTTTTTTTTTATATTTTTGTAATTTCTATGTTTTTATGTATTTTATATTTGAAAATATTTTTTGAACTTTTTCCTTTTTTCATGTCTAAATATTAAAATGGTAATATATTAACACCCGTTAATTTATTTCGTATATATTTTATTTTTTCTATGAAGGTTAAAATGGTAATATATTAACACTTGTTAGTCTGTTTAATGTCAAGTTAGTGACATGGTGAGTTTAAGAGAAATGCTAAAAACTCATGGTGAGTTTTAGACAATTTCCCATTTATAATATATATAATATATATAATATATATAATATATATAATATATATAATATATATAATATATATGATATACATAAATATATATAAAATATATAGAAATATATGTATACCAGTCAGTTCGATTAATCGCCGGTTTCTATATTGGTTAACTGAAACCGAACCGATCGATTTGATTAACCGATTTTTCGGTTCGGTTTCGATCAATTTAGTTTTTTGATTTTTTTTGCTCACCCCTAGTGGATGAATGACTATTCATTATTTTTCAAGAATGTTTATAAATACCATTGCATTATTGAGTCATGGAATAACAAATTTAAAATTCCTCAATTTAGCAATTAACAGAGAATCAATGTTCAAAATAGAGGTATCAAAAGGTTTTTCTTTTCTTTTTTTTTCATAGGACTACACAAATTGGGGATCCCCAAACCCATAACCCCACCACTCCCAACCATGGTCCATGGTGCAGGCAGGATTCAATCCCAAGTCCTTGTTATCAGCTAAGACCATATCAACTAGCTAGTTGACATCTTGCAAGGTATCACAAAGAATAATAAAAAGACAAATTTAAGATGAGTTGGGATTTCCTACCTACAAGGATCCTACCCGCAAGACACTACAGTTGTATTATATGAGTCCAGATCTCTTGCCTACGAGAACTCTACCCATGTTAATCGCAGCCACACATGGAGAACATCTCATCCTCTACATAGTATTATGCAGGGGGAGATGTTCCCAATTCACGGGGGGTAGTGTATTGTGGGTAGGCATGGGCAGAGTTCTTGTGGGTAGGAGATCTGGAGTCGTATTATATTGGGAATATCTTGGATATTTACATGTTGCCATTCATGCAGATATGTTTTCAATGTACAATTATAGTTTCCTTTGAGTAGGTGTGGGTAGGATTCTTCTAAGTAAGAGATCTAGATTCATTTAAGATATGAATTGAAATATGCTTGTGAAACACATAGATACAATAGAATGATCACGACAAATATAAATATATATGGGAAACCCATAATCTTGTATAAATCCACAATTGTATCAGTAACACCAAATCTAATGCTTAGGCTCAGTTTGGAAGCAGTACAAATGCAAATATGTACAGCATAAATACATACAAAATATAAGATTTTGCACTTTACATATTTGCATTTGTACTCCTCCCAAACTCAGCCTAAATGACTATGAATGAGGCATAATAAACATAGAAGGAAAACATATTTTAATAGTTGTCTTTTTGACAAGTATTAATCACATACACTTAAAAAATGTTGAAAAATGAAATAAGAACTAAAACATGCATATATGCCATAGGGAACCAATGTCAAATTTAGAAAACTTGCACATGTAATTTAGAAAAGAAAAAAACCAATTTTAAAGTTAATAAATTTGGATCAAGGCCACGTTTGTTTAAGGTGGAAAATCAAACCAGTGTAAAGTTTACATCCTGATTTGAGTTAGCATGCATTTGTTTGAAGTGTTGGTTTACACTGTAAACAAAATGTAAAACTCCACCATGCCCAAGTTTTACATCGATATGTAAATAGGAATGGCAACGGGGCGAGGCGGGGATGGGTAGCCTCTCCCCATCCCGTCCCTGCTAACGGGGACAAGGTTATCCCCATCCCCGCGGGGGATCCCCATTCCCCATGATTTTTTATAATGTTAACTATTTTTGTTTTTTTACTTTATTTAAAAAAATAAAAATAAAATAATTAAAATTTACAATCCTATTAAAACAAATTCAAACATATTTTTAAAAATATTATATATGCATATATAATAGATGTATGTGTACATATATACATATATAATATATGCATACATATATACATATATATTAGTAGAGATCCCACGGGGCGGGGAGTGCTCTCCCCGTCCCCGCTAACGGGGATGAAAATTTCCCCATCCCCGTCCACACGAGGAAAAATCATCCCCATCCCCACCCCATTTGAAGCCAATCTCCACGGGAATTGGAGAAATGAGGAAAATTGCCATCCCTATATGTAAAACTCCATCGTCTTCCCGCATCGGTATAAAACTCCCTTCTTGCACCTCCTATATCCGTTGCAACATTCAAAACATCACCAATATTCTTTGTTAGCAACGACGCAGGTCCACCATTTTTTCTGATCTGGAGGAATGAATGCATCAATCTCGGAAGGGATGCATCGTTCTCAGATCCGCCCCCATTCTATCCCCACATGCATCATCCTCATCATTTTTTTTTTTTATTTCTCACCATTTTTCTACTCTAATAGTGGCGTTTTCTCATCTTTTTTCAGATCTCATTTGGGTTGGAAATATGCGCTAATCGTTGTTGGAAATATGCACTAAACTCATTATAATGGTTAAATTTAAACCATCGTGTATTCCAAACACCCACAAAATATACATTTAAAATTTACACCCTAACAACCAAACAGTTTAAGCGTAAAAACTAAAATCCACCCGGTTCCACATTACATTGATCACTAACCGACAACTCCTTTTACATCGGTGTAAATCTAAATTCAAGTTATTTTAACGTAATGAAGTAGTGTGGTTTAGCAGTGAGACTCGTGCTTGTTATGTGATAGACCTAGGTTTAATCATTCACGAATGAATGTATAATTTTTATATATTTTCCTTCAACAGGGAACATTGAATGAGGCAAAAGACAATCAAGCATATGATTGCCCTACATTAGCCTTGAGGTGTCTCTTTGACCCGGAAAGAGACTACATCTTACTGCAACATTTAGGAATTTCACTAACAAAATCATTGGATTCATTCACTTGTTTTGAACTAGATACTTAGGGATGACAATTTTTTCCATTTTCCTAATACCCATGGGAACTTGCCCCGAATGGGGTGGGGATGAGGATCAGCTTTCATGGAGAAATTTTCATCCTTATTGGTAGGGATGGGGAGATCACTCCTGCCTGGTGGGGATGCCCACTTATGTGTGTGTAAATGTTTTTAAAATATACTTGAGTGTGTCTGGATCTATTGTAATAGGATTATAAATTATAACTATTTTATTTCTAATTTTTAAAATAAAATAAAAATAAAAAATAAAATGAATTTGACATCATAAAAAATCATGAGTGAGAATCCTGGTAAGGATGGGGATGGGAATAATCTTGTTCCTATTGGCGGGAACAGTGATGGGGAGATGGACTTTTCATTTTTCCGAGGATGAAAATGGGGAGTGGCTCCCCATCCCCGCCCCCTCCGGTTGCCATTCCAATAGAGAACAGCTACATAGGAGTGGTGTAAACAAAGTAACCGGGAAAAGGTAGATTAACAAAAGATTTTAGCTTTTAAGTCTTGTTTATTTCCCTCGCTTTTTGAAAGTTGTATATTCAGAATAAAGACTTGGGATTCCCACTAAATTATCTATACAATTGCCTAATGACATAATATGCAATCAAGTGCAAGTTTGGACATTGGAGATGTCTTTTGATTTTAGTTTTTTATTTATTTTTTGAGTTGATTTAAGTTTATCAATACATCGATGGCAACTCTGTTCAAGACAGCGTTATCCTCAACAGAGGGCACCGAAGGTGTTCCTGTCGAAGAAGATGCAGGTAGAGTTGGAATCCCTGCACTGGTGGAAGATGACTAAGGAAAATGATTCATCAGTATACTTGTCAACTTCAATAACAGACTTAACAGTTTTGACTTTTGACAGAAGTTTCATTTTTCTTAGGATGTCATATTCCCAACCAACATTGAAATAGCATTCCCTCTTTTTAAGTCTTAACTTTTCAAAGAAAGCAAAGAATAATAAGCAAATAACAAAAAGCAGAACTGTAAATGGAGAACGGAAACCAACAAGCAGTTGACTTCTCCATTGCAATAGTCATTGTTTTCTCTACCTGGACAAGTAGATTCTCTGCACCACTACTGTTGTTTGGCATGCCTCTGGCAGAAGGACCTTACCCTCTCCATGGCATCTTTAAGAGAAGACAGCTCCATTGCAAAAGTTATGCGGAGCCAGTTTTTCAGTCCCACCGAAATTCCTGCAAGAAATATCATCCCAAGTCATTGATCAATGATATGTCTAACCACCATTAAGTTATTGCAAATTCCTACATCAAGGCAAAGAAAACTTATGCCCAAGGAAGTACTTTTATGAATCATTCAATCACATTCCATATATGCATGACTGATAATACCAGAGCCCTGATACTACCACAGCCCATTACATGAAAGCGACTGACTAAACATGACCAATAATAACCTGGGTCTATCCTCCAGAGTAAGAACCATTCACTTGCTTGAACACTCAACCATGCATTTCCATGTACACATGATCAATACTATAGTTCCGACACTAGCACACAGCCTATTACGTAAAAGTTACTAATCACGAATGAAACCTGACTCTGACCTCCAGAGTAAGAATCATTCATCTGCCAAGAATGCTGCCTTAACAGATAAACCTTTTACAATGATCTTCATATTAGTCAATGATAATGTCATAAACCTTGGCCATAGTGTTATGGAAACCAAGCCACCTACTGGTGCCTCAGTATTCGTAGACATATATGGGCAAAGTGTCTTCTGATTAGTGCATGTAAGGTTAGTTTAACAAAATAACACTTTGATTCACTGAAAGATTGGCTAAGAAGATCATATGATTGAGAAGAGAAGCAGAAAAATCATCATTTAAAAATGCAAGAACAAAGAAAGAATCATTTGATGCACAATTTGTGTGCTCTTATGTTCTGAGGTCTGAACAAAACTATCAGTTCGCAGTTGCACATTGACCTGGAAATGTTTAAACAAATAAAAAAAGGGAAAACAGTACCCTGACCTTTGGAGGTTGTGTCAAGTCAGTCCCCGAACTTCAAAACATGTCTATGCAGTACCTTGAACTTTCAAATTGTGTCTAATAGGTCCCTATCGTTAGTTGAGCATTAGTCAACACCGTCACATGACATCAATTACGCATTAAATAATTTCATAATGGCAAAATTACCCTTTATGATATTTTTCTGACCATTTTACCCATTTTGTCTGAGTGTTAAAAGAAGGAAAGGGGAAGAAGGGTTAGGAAACTGGAAAGATGATCATCCGGTTACTGTTGATCATTGAATGGGGGAGCGGGAGCTTCAACAGTTGATCGGTGTCCGGTTTCATAACCCTTTTCCCCTTTCCTTCTTCTAACACTCGGACGGAATGGGTAATAAAGGGTAATTTTGCCATTTTGAAATTATTTAATGCGTATCTGATGTCACATGATGGTGTTGACTAACAGTCAACTAACGGTAGGGACCTATTGGACACAATTTGAAAGTTCAAGGTACTGCAAAGACATGTTTTAAAGTTAGGGGACTGACTTGACACAACCCCCAAAGTTCAGGAATTTTTCCTTAAAAAACAAAAGTGAAATAGGAAAGACATTCTATTTTATTTTACTACTACTATATTAGCTTTTTTTTGTGTGTGTAAAATTTCCCCAACCTCCCATGCCACATCTTTCTGAAGCTGTCAACAGGTCCCCAAAATAAGCTTTACTATTGCTCTACTCACTCACAGATCCAACAATACATGATAATGGAAATTTGTGTCATAAAGCAAATACATAGATGCCAAGAGAAATGCATAAAGCTCACCAGAATGGGAGGATATAAAGAATTCCAAAGTTATGCTTCACCCACAGAGAAGATATGTTTTACATTAGCAGAAAAGTGCAATTGACCTCCTTTCAGCACATGATAACGCTTACAGAAACTAATATGTCTAAAGAGAGGTTGGTGCTAGAGGAATATTTCCAGCACAAAACATGCAATCTTCATATGAACTAATTCTGAAAAGTAGGTAATTTTTTTCCTCACCTGGCAGAACAATCACAGATTCCTCTTTGGCTAGCTTTAAACAGAAGTCCGTATCATCTTTAATGTCTTCTAGAAGTGATATGTTCAGCTTCACCTGCATCACAACACATAAGCTAAAAGATATCCAGAACCTCCTTATTTTCAAGCACAGCCCAAATATTTCTGTCCCTACCATTATAAACATGGAACCCTCTGGTTTAACTGGGCAAGTAATGCAGTCAATCGACTTTATGCTCTCATAACAAATTTCTGAAGCTTGCGTAAACATATCAATGATCTTCTTAAAGAAATCATCTTTAGTATTTCCAAGGATACGAGGAACTGCACCCTGATACATCGAACATAATATCATACAACATAGGGAAAGAGGATAACAAGAAAGCATTTTATGAAGCTCAATTTTAGCTTTTTCACCTTTACAAAGAAACATCACATATATGGTGAGTGAAAAAGTGGTATTGCCAAGGAACACTCTAGATGTAAAACATTAGTTTTTAATGACCATTAACCAATACCATGATATCATAACCACAAGAAGAAAATGCTACCTGAGTCTTAAGTCTTAACTTCTTAGAGGAGCATACAACAGAGAACAATGACCTATCTTTCTCTATTTCTTTTATTCTGAAGATCACAAATCACACAAATCCAAAACTTTACTTTTCAGAAGATTACAAATCTTCAAAATTCTTTTACACAGGAACTGGCAATAAAGAGAAATCAATTAAAATGAATAAAAAATGATTTAGGAGAACAAAACCCGTCGAGAGCAAAGACCCGCTATGGCACAAAGACCAAACTCATGTCTGAACACAAAAGGTCCATCTTGATTCGTGACTTGTTATTTTGGTACTAAATTGTTTTCTTGTTTTCTGATAATCCCAGAAATAAAAGACTAAAAGATGTGTCCTGGACTCGGGATCATTAGACTTTATTTTTATCAACAAAATGTGTTTAACATCTGGATCATTAGACTTCTTCCCAAGTATTTATGATTTTGAAACCTGCAGCTTACTGTGAGAGCACAAACATATGCAAGCTTGTTAACACTAACAAAGAACTGGTTGGAATATCTATTTTAGCAAATCTGGAACTGAAGCCATCATATGATCCCATACTTGGGATAAAATTAAGGGTCACAAGGATTGGTTGGAAACCATATAATGAATACTTTTGTTTTTAAAGCACTTGAAGTTACGATTTACTTAGGAAATTGGAATAAATGGGTCAGTATTGGTTTTTCCAAAGTTCCTATATTTATGAAGTTGGGAACAATTTCGTATCATGCATCAGTTCAGGACTGTCATAAGATGTTGTAGGGGTAAGATTAGAAGTTGATTAATGAAGGGGAATGATCTACTGTTGGAGAAAACAAGGGAATATAATTGAGAGACAATTGAACTTTAGTTTCTTTTGTTAAATTTTGTGGATTGTACAGATTTCAAAATCTTGGTTTCCTCTTCCATCAGTGTGCTTTCTTGACTTGTACAAATCATCTATATTAATATAGGAAAATTAGCATTGGATTATGTGAGTTCAAATGATTTTCAAGCAGCAAGATCTCTTGGATTTGCACCATGTAACTTGATACAAGCCACCTTATTTATCCAAGAAAATTATGTACAAGCCTGTAACTTGATACAAGCCACCTTGTTATAAGATGCATTTTCCTCAAACTGTACAAACCTGAATAAAAGTTACAGGATCAGGGTAGATATTGAGATATCCCTGAAGGCAATCAACAATCTGAGAAGAAGAAAGACGAGACCATAAGATAAGTTATTATTTGCCCAAGTAGAATGCATAAAGTCATTGATGAAGTCCATGAAAATTGAAAAATTTTATCATCCTTATTTGTATGTCATTTAATATATGGAATAGAACGCCACTGTAAGCATGTAAATCACTGCAAAAGGGACTAACAAATACAAAATGTTTTCTAATATTTCAGGTGAGGGAACCTTCAATTCACAACAAGCAATCACTAATTGATAACAATTAATAAAGAAAGCAGACCTCTAAAAATGATCAGTTATCGTGTTCTATGATCTGACATGTTATAATGAAAAAGTGTGCTTGTTGGTCAACTCATAAAATCTTTGATCATCAACCCGAGTACATCTTCCACAGAGAGTTGGTTTAAAACAGAATCCTCCCACCTTTCCCACCACTTCTCCACCCCCACAATAAAGGGGAAAACAGAAAAAGAAAAGGGAAGTAAGTCATTCAGATTGAAATCATCCACATCAGGACAGAGGCTTCAAATTTGAAGTTTGTTGAGCTTATCAGTGATGCAATGGATGTAGTATCAGGGCAACAACATTTGACAAGCTAGATCAAAAGTCAGACGGATTAAATGCCCATTGCATTCAAAAATAGCATAAAATCTGGCAATTGATTCAGCTATAAGCATCAGAAGACAATGCAGTCAATCAAGTGATAAGGTGTGAATGCTTCCAAGTGGCCGATGACTCAGAGGCCGAAGTGGAGAATTTTGTTGGGTGAGGACCTGGAGGCCGAGCTGACCAGAGGGTCGAGCTGCATATTAGGTGACAAGCCGACTAGAGGGCCGAGCTACCTATTAGGTGCCGAGCTGACCAAAGTACCAAGCTGCCTATTAGGTGCCGAGCTGCATATTAGGTGACGTGCTGACCAGAGGGCCAAGCTGCCTATTAGGTGCCGAGCTGACCAGAGGGCCAAGCTGGATTGATTGTTGAGCTTCATAGTTCTTTAGAGACCTACAAGGAATCAATGTCGAGGACCCGGGTTGGCTAACCCGGCGATGTCTCTCCAATGATTAAGTCAGTACTCTCATAGTAGACTGCAAGCTAAAAATCATGAAGTATGAGAGCTAGAATATGCTTACTTGCCCCCCCCCATGCCATTGGGGTTGGTGCCTTTATATAGGCATTGTTTGGCGGGGGCTTCCGCTCCGGAACGTTTGGTACGTGGGCCAACTTCCAAGGATCATGGGAGTGTTGGGATAGGCATGCCGAATTTGTCGACGAGCACGTCTCGTAGGTCGCCACCTAGACCTTAATCAGGCCGGCACGCCCTCGAGGGAGGTCGCTCCATGCGTCGAGGTCACTTCAGCTAGTGATGAGGTGCTGCAGGTCAGCCCTGGATGAGGTGCTTCTTGCCGACCTGAATTGTGGTCGAGGTCGCCAGTTCGACACCTGTGCCAGGTCGCCAGGTCGGCGCCTGTGCCAGGTCACCATCATCTTGGCTAAGGCAAGTTGTTGCCTAAGTGGTTCCGGGTGTCACCCAGTTGTTCCGAGATATCACGTCTCACAATGTCATTGGAGGGCCAAATCCTCATCACTATCCAAAAGAAAGTTTGGCCATAAACACACTGAACCACATGGCTGGGGGAATTGTTATCCTCAGTTTTCTCTCTGTTAGAGGAGGGAACACAGAAGAAGTAGATATTCATCTCTTGTTTACATGGCATTTTTGGCATGGCATGGTTTGGCTTCAATACTTTGTGGACAGCTATGTGATCCTTTCAGAGTTGTAAAATATATAGATGACATGGTTAAGACTGAGATTTTTTGATCATTTTATGTAGGAGATCTCCTGGAGGCATCCATAACATGACACACTTAAATTTTTTTTTCTTGATCAATATGACACACTTAAATCTATTAGTGTAGAACACTGAAAATTTTCTAAGTTTCCTGAAAATACACTTACTGTATCAAAACCTTGATGGTTTTCTGAAAACATACTTACGGTATAGCAAATTGTATTTAATGATGTTAATGATATCACGGAAATATAGTTCTGTGCCATGAATGAGGAAATCATCGGAAGATAACACTAATGGTAAAGAATAACAGAGACGGTAAGAAAGAACCTTGGTTTTCTTAAGAATCCCGTTGGGATCACTTGTCACAATCCAACCAAGCCTCCACCCAGGAACCATCCACCTCTTTGACAAGGAACCAAATGTAAGGACGGGAATTGTCGACCCAAAAACTCCCATCGGCACAAATGGGTTGCTTCCAAAAGTAAGATGGCCATAGACTTCATCCGCAATTACCAGAATTCCAAGCCTTCTTGCAGTCTCAGCAATCTATATACAATAGAAAACAAGAACCGTAGCATGACATCCATCCGAATTTCTTTGAATGATGCTAACGAAGAACAAAATTCCCAATAAGATTTCAAGTATAGAGACTGAGGCAAGTAGGAAACATCATATACTACTCACCTTCTCCAAGTGCTGATAATTGAAAACATTTCCACATGGATTTCCCGGGTTAACAATAACCAAGGCAACGGAGTTCTCGTCTGCAAGAGCTTCAACTGCGTCAAGATCAACCTCCCAACCTTTTTCAGGGAGAAGATCAAAATGCCGAACTTCAAGATGGTTAAGAGCTGCACAAGCTTCATAATGCGGGAAGCCTGGTCTTGGAAGCAAAACATTTGCGCCGGGGCGAGCAAGAACACTCACAACAACGTCAATAGATTGTTTACAACCAGGAGTGAGGAAAACATCATCCGGCGATAACTTGTATGGAAGATCATTTGAAAGATATTCAGCAATAGCTCTATTAAAAGAGAATTGTGAGCTTTAATAAAAGGACAATTCAAAAAATATAAATATAAAAATAAAAAACTTAGGGGAAAAATAAAAACATAGTAAACTCTGTTATCCAATAGTGGAATATTAAAATTTATCGAAGAAGGAAACAATATCGTAAATGATCAATCACTTTTGAATCTGGATAAATTTGCGAACTCAAAGTACGAAGTCTGAAACTGTGAAAGAGTAACGAAGCTGGAAGCCTGGAATTAACCAGAAAACATGAAGATAACCAGGTGAAAAATGCAAAGCAAATGCCTAATAGATGCAAGGTTAGTTTCAACATTAGTTCAATGGGTACCAGGTTAAAGAGGAAAAATCCAATTTTTAATCAAATCTTTCATTGAAGTACCTTCTCGCCGGGAGAATGCCAAGCGGGGGAGCGTAAGAATTAAACTTGGCGGAGCGAAGAGCATCAGCAACCGCATCTTCGGCAATCTGAGAAGTCCGAAAACACGGAAAGACAGAAGGATCTCCTTGACCGAGATGAATAATCGATCTCTGACCTGCAGCAGCATCCATGAGCATCTTCAGAGTTCCTCTGATGGAGAAAGTGGATGCTACGTTGAGCCCCTGGTTCGCTACGAAACCCCATCTCTTGGATTCCCCGTTCTCCATATAGCCTTATCTTCTTCAATTCTTTCGTCCCTATAACTAGTACATCTGTTGTTTCTGCCTCCCAAGTAATAGTTGCATGGTTCTTGATGGTTGAAATCAGTACAGAAGTCGCACTCCAGCAAAGTGTAAACCAGAAAGTCCACAAACCACAACATCGGCTGATGCCTGATGGTGAGTGGCGAGTGAAGAGTGATGAGGATGAGCCCAACAAGGTTCAGCCCAACAAGAGCTTGGGCTCAGGCTCATGTAAATTTGGCCCATCTAGTCCAAAGCACCGAGGAAAGTTGTGGAAGAATCCTAGAAATACAGTAGCGAAATTGGCAGCAAGCACACAAGAAAGAAGACCAAACATGTACAGAAGATGCATACGACGCTAAAGCAATGTAAAGTTCCGACTTCCGACAAGTAAATAGTGAATGGGCTTCAACAGAGCATCCCTCACGTGTATCTCCAACTACAGCTCCGCCATGTACACTGAGCAGGCCAAGAATATTGGCTTTGACAAAAAGAATGAAGCATATCCATACCAAGTTCCATTACATCCTGGACCCTTTTCTCTTTCTTTCTTGGTTAAGACGAAGACTTTTGTCAAACAGGTGGCAGTCTTGCAGATGCTTGTATCGAAAAAGAATTGTCTGATACTAGCACAGCAGCTGAGCAGCAGCACAAGCCCAACAAAGAATGCCACTGTAGATGTTTTCTTTTAATCGATTATGGAATGTTTTTATAAGCGGACACCGCCAATTCTTCTACTGGAGTTGTGTATGAGCATGCAGTTACAGAATTGCAGTCACGCATCACAGACATAAAAGCGAATACCTGGAGTTGGAAGCACGAGAGTTGAGACCAGGACCCAGGAGAGAGCATTGCTGGTGGAAGTAACGAAAAAACCAATTGGCCCAAATTCCAACTTCACCACACTGTACTTCAAAAAACTGTAGCATTCGACTATTTGGGTTGTTGATGAACTCCCAGTTGTTACCGAACAATGATTTCTATGTTCAAAATCCTCAAATCTAGCATCTTACAAAAACAATGCTACAAAAATCTGTATAAAAATGAAAAAAAAATAAGAGATTGATAAATCTACTATCAAATATTGATAAATGGATGCAGAGACCGAGACAGAGAGATGCAGAGACAGAGATAATAATCTACTGCTGTTCTTTTGGTAGTAATTGAAATGGACATAGATATTGCCGTATAATTCTTATTCTGGGCCAAAAATCAGGTTAACGATAATCTTATTGGGCCCATCTGTTGGATACCATTGTTTTAGCCCAGCCCCTGCAATGGTGGGTCTGAAACATGGGATGGGTGGTGGTAAAGTATAAGGCCCAGAGACGTCTACGACTAGAAATTACAAAATGCAAATCCGACGTCAAGAGGAGGGCTGGAGGGGGGCTCCCAGATGGGGACCACTAACGAATTTTTGGATACGACGAAGTATGGAAAAAGAGTAGTTAAAGACAGGGACATGTGATTGGACAGGAGAGGACACGTCGTTGGTCCAAGGGTCCTTATCAACAGAGATATACGGATGACAACGTGGCATTAAAAATAGCCCCACATCATAAAACAGAACAGATGATTTTAATTATCTAATTGGGATTGCAAATCCATCAGTTCAATCTACTCCAACTCCCTGTCAAACAACATCAACTGATGGGGACAACACAACCCACCTCTGCAATCTGCGTGGACGGCTTGTCCACTCTCCCATCACGAGTCATTATTAACTCAACCCACACCCACCAGAGCATCGCTGGGCTAACTTCAACTTGGTACCGCCCGCAGGCCGCAGCCCAGCCCAAGACCCATTATCAGTACACCCGGTACACACAATCATCAAATCACATATTAAAATGGAGCAGGTGAGGATCCGAACTGACGGACACTTGCCCAATAGCCATTTCCAGTACTGTGAAAGAATCAGGGATTCTCACTGAACGGGCCCCATCTACAAGGCTATACCGGATCTGGTCGTCCGATGCAAAAGGATCAAGTTGGGCCCCACTCCTTGCATGACCACCATGTGTCGGGTACGAGGTTGAAAGAAATATATGAGTTTATTATGAAGATCCAGATAGGTACTGTGACATGAATGTTGATACAGAGTGCGTATGTGGGTTAGCTTAATTGGCCCGTAACAGTATCACCAATCATTGGGCCCCATCTCATCAACTCAACACCCTATGCTTGATAGGGAAATGACGAAAATCACAGTCGTGAAGGTCACTATCGTGTGGTCAACCCATTCTGGACATAACCATGTGATGACCTGAGATGTCAAAGTATGGCACATCAGTGGCACCCAATCACTGTCAACAGAGAACTTAAGTAGTATAGCCCTTGGAAGATCATTGAAGCTATTTAATTATATCAGAATATTTTAATCGCTTACTTTTATTCATTTTTATTCTTTTATAATCAAATAAAATTTTACTAAAAAGATGACCGTGCGACCTGGTGCTCCCCGTCTCGCATACTGAATTGTAGGGCTGTTCATAATAATGTCCAACCCGACCAAACCGACCAACCCGGACCAACCCAACATGAGTCGGCCGGGTTTTCATCAGTACTGGTCGGTTTCGGGTTAGGAAAATATATAAATCGATATATTGGGTCAGTTTCGATTTTCTTGTGTGAAAACCGAAACCAACCTGACCCGAACCGAACTAGTCTTCTACTACTTCGATAGTTTCTAGTTTGACTAGTTTCCTACTTAACTATAACTAGTCTTCTACTAGAATTAGAAGGCCCATTAGGCTTAGAATAGGCAATCTATCATAGTTTCTAACTTTCTATAATCTTTTACACCAAATAGGCAACCCATTAGGCAATTACAATTAGAATTCAATTAGGTGTCATTTTGTATAGGAGCAAAACTGAAACCGATCGGACCGACCCGACCCGACCAGGTCGGTTTGGCCTATCATTGGGTTGGTTTCGGTTTCCACCTCAGATAACCCAACCAGGTCGGGTCGGTTGGGAAAACCCCAATAAACTGACCCAACCCGACCCGTGAACACCCCTATTGAATTGAGTAGGTCGTCAAGCTGCAAGAAGAGAGAGATTAGAGTGTTTGAGATGTTTTCTCGATGTGGGTATTTCGATGCTTAATTAAGTCAATAATAAGTGTATTGAGAGCTAAAATGCAAGAGAGCTGTAAGAGTTAAATCGTCATGCCTTTCTCTAGAACATTCAGTGTGGGAGTTGACTTCCAGAGGTCCCAGGAAAGATGGGACGCCCGTGGAGGAGGCCGGCGAGCACATTTCGCAGGTCGCCACCTGGACCTCAGTCAGGTTGACAAGTCCTTGAAGGAGGTCGTTCCTCACGCCGAGGTTCCTTGGACTGATATTGACAAGTAACATAGGTTGGCAAGTCCTCAACAGAGGTCACTCCTCACACCGAGATCCCTTAGACCAGTATTGACGAGATACCATAGGTCAGCACTGGATGAGGTGCCTGAAATGTGTATGAGGTGTCCAAACTGTATATAAGGTGCCCTGGACTGATTACGAGGTGCATCTCCTTGACTTGGCGAGATATACAACTATCCATGTGGCGCTGAAGTGTCAAGCAACAAAGAAAAATGCCACGTGTCACTAGATCAGCCGAATGGCCAAATCACCCCTGATCAGTGTTCTAATTGTCAAAAGATTTAAATATAATATTAATAATTCTGAATTGATATTAATCTGGATGGTATTTTCTAGTTGGTATCTTCAATGTTTCAAATCTAAACACTTGTACTTGAAACTAGTATTGGAAATATTCACAACAATAAAAAAGGAAAGTTAAATGCTTCGAAAATAACACACAATTGTTCATTGTGGTTTAGCCAATTAGCCACATGTCATGAACATCTCCCATGTATAACGTGTTGTCAATTTGACATTTCCTCCAACACTCCCAGAGAGATAATTCAATATAAAGGGTGGTATAGATGTTTGAACTTTGAACTTATTTAAGCCGACCTCATATTGGAATGATAAAGCCAAGATGCCTAAATGGTGTTTACATGGAAGATAAATTAAACATGCAACACCCATTAGGGCAGTCTTTAGTTCTATTGCCGTTTTGCGTTTTCGGATAAAAGGTATCGTGTGCTCTGTGCGTTTTTTTTTTTTTCTATTTTGATCTTTGGTTTTTGATAAATCGTTTTTTGCCAATACCTTGTTGTTCTGACTACTTCTTGGTGTCTGATGATTGACAGGTCGAGCTAGAGTATTTTTGCTGGATAAAGGTTTGAATGCCAAACTGACTGGATTGAATTAGGAGGTTGCTTGGGTGTAAAGTTGGGTAATTCTTCAAAAAGATTTGCAAGGAAACATTATTAGAGAACCCAGGGTGGCTAACCTGGTAAGGTCGCTCCGATACTTAAGTTAGTACTCTTGTAGTAGATTGCAAGTTAAAAATCAGAAAGTATGAGAGCTAGAATGTACTTAATCGCATATCCCCTGTGTCATTGGGGTTGGTGCCTTTATGTAGGCATTGTTTGGTGTGGGCTTCACGCACCGCATCCGAGATTTCTGGGAGGTCGCCTAACTGGTCTGAGATCCTCGGAGGTAACCACCATGCACGCTGACCACCCTCCGAAACGTTCGGTATGTGGGCCAACTTCCAAGAAATGTGAGAGTGTCGGGATATGCATGCTGAATTTGTCAGCGAGCACATCTCGCAAGTCACCACCTAGACCTCGGTCAGGTCAGCATGCCCTCGAGGGAGGTTGCTCCTTGCTTCGAGGCCACTTCGGCCAGTGACGAGGTGCTACAGGTCGACCTTGAACGAGGTGCTTCTAGCCGACTTGAGTTGTGGTCGAGGTCACTAGGTTGGCGGTAAAGGCAGGTCGCTAGGTCAGGGTGAAGAGAAACCGCGATCTGGGACTCCAAGTCCTCGCTTATGTGGTGTCCATGTATCATCCAATTGTTCCATGATGCCATGTGTCACAGTATCATTGGAGGGCCAAATCCGCCCTCATCAATTTCATTGTTATGCCACGTTAGAGAAGATTGTGTTCTCTTTTTAGTGTTTTTTTTCTTTTAATTCCTAACCAAACAACATATGCTGATGCATTTTTTGCCGTTTTTCAGAAAAAAGATATGACTTCGATATGGTACCATTGTTTATAGAAAATGACGATAGAACCAAACACTACCTAAATTGAAAAGGTTGTTCTTGATTTAAACTTAAGAGGTTTCCCTTCCTTTTCTTTCAAACAAATACATCAATGTGCGAACCCAGATTTTCTACTCACTTTTCTGGGTCCGGATGTAGTAGACACGTTAGGTAAGCACAATTAGTGAGCTCGTAATAGTTGTGTGACACGTGTCTCAGTTAATGCACTTTTTATTCAAACGTTTTTGCTCTGTAAGGTAGAAATGATCCATTATCTTATTATCTTTGTTAAAATAATTAAAAATAAAAATAATAAAAAAGGAAAACCTAAGCGTATTGAGATTTGGGACACATTTGTGTTTTCCTTTTCTATTTTTTTATTTTTAATTATTTTAATAAAGATAATAAAATAATGGATAATTTCTGCCTAACGGAACAAAAACGTTTGAATGAAAGGGCACATGAATTAAGACATATGTCACACATCTATTATGTGATCATTCATTGTGTTTACCTAACGTAATACTTACTACATCTGGACCCCACTTTTCTTACCCACTGTGAATTGCAGCCACATATCTCTCGATCTTAATTCATAATAGAGATGTGTTGTTGCAATTCAAGGTGGATAGAGATTGGGTAGGAAAAGCAAGTAGAAAATCCCGTTTGCATCAATTCGCATGCATGGCGGTAGAGAGAGGAGAGAAAGTAAAACATCAAATACAATATTTTATTTGTAAATTTCCTTATTTGACAGTCGTCTCAGTTCTCCCCATATCATTATTGAATTTCAATTTCGTTATGTGCTTAGCACATGGAGGAATAGTACCCTTGGGCTAGGGATGGAGATCCGCACTTGCCTTCTGCTCCGTGAGAGGGTATTTATGTCCCTTTACATGTGATATGCCCAGACTTGACACGATCATGTGCCATATCTACGGCAATAGGGCAAACATAGGAAGGTTACCATCCTTCCAATACATACTAACAATGTTGTTATAATCTAATTCGAAAATAAAACTCCCCCACCCCTCACCCATACAAAATAGAAAATCAAAGAGGAAATTAAGAAAAAAAAGAAGGAAAGAAATTATCTTAAATTATTCATTTGAATATTTGATTATTAATAGAAGGCTGCATTGTATCAAGAGATGTCTTGGATAGCCTTATATTACATTTGGTAATTGAGGCCCCCTCACCTTCCTTATGGTTTCAACTTTTAACTTCCTACTTCACAATTATATTATGGCCACTTCACAGCTATACTTCACAGATATCAAATTTTCTAATTGGATTTAAATTCGGATATTGTTTGATTCAATTCGAATTCGATTAGTTTATATTTTTATGCACCAACGTCCACCTGTGAATTGGCATTAATTCCGAGTTGGCACCTACCCCAACAGTACTTTGGGCCTATAAACTCTGACCTGGGCTGAACCGTCATTCTCCCAACAAAAAACATGTTCTTTAACCTGATATCAAAACATGTTTTCATCTGATTTTTCAACATCATATTCCATAAATCATATAATTTTTATATTAAAAGTTTTGTTGTTCTTTTAAAACTATTCTTTTGTTGGTTCCAAAAACGCGTATACCAACTTGTTTTTCACTTTGAAAACAATCTAAGAACATGATTTTGTTTTTTTGCTGATGTGGCAATTTCAGAAACAAATAAAAATAAAAATATTCATGTTGCAAAATACCCCCTTAAATTAGCTTATAATTGCTACAAATAGTTGACTAAATGCAACTATACATAGGTGGAGCATTTTGTTGTTCACCAGTAGCCCAAATGAATAGAGAGGAAAATTAAGGCTCAGTTTGGAAAGAGTGTTCCACACTGAGCCTAAACTAAATTCTATAAGAAACCAGTACAATTTTATTGGATCATAGATATACAGTTAACAGTTTTAAAAGTTTTAATTCTTAGGACCTGTTTGAGAGTAATTCTGCATTTTAGAGGAGCCAGCCACTACCACTTTGGTTTAGGGAGCTTGGTCTGATAAGCTACCTAGAATAGCTTCATGTAACAGTTGTTAAAATGACATTTCAAAAGTTGATTGCAGCTTCCCGATTTTCACCAAACATAACCTATTGGATTTTTGTATTGAACCAACCTTAGAACACTAGAAACCCTTCCTCAAAATTCCTCCCAAACGGGCAGTTAGCAAGAAAGTAAAGCTGACCGACCAACACTCTTCTTTTTTTTTTCCGGACAGATATTGCAAAATCTCCATAGAGTACTCTATAGATGGAGCTTTTTAGCATCATTCTTCTCTATTAATAGTTCAATACTTACAAAATAATAATAATAATAATAATAATAATAATAATAATAATAATAAAATCGGAGATAAAAGGTATTTGGAAGCGTGGGTGCTTTTTGAGACCAATTTAAAAAAAAAAAACATCCATGTTTCCAAGACCCGTTTTTTACAAAAAAACGCTACGCAGGCAGTGAATAACACTATGCTGTTTAATAAGGTGATTTTCATCCCCATTTTTCATGTATGTGCTAAAAGGTAAAGACCATAGGATACACATCAGCAACCATTGGGAAAACAGTTCACTGATGCATGAAATGCATGGGGTCCCGATAATGCATGCCCGATTTTTTAATAATCGACTAAACCAAACAATGAGATACATGGGTGTTTGTTGAAACGCCTATGTGGATCCGGTGTGGCACCATTTTTTGAAAAATAGCCACGGTTCCAAACACAGCGTAGGCACTTTTTGGAACAGATTTTCATGAAAAAATGTTCATGCTTCCAAAACCCGTTTTTCACAGAAAAAACGCTTCTGCCACATAGACAGTGAACAACGCTGTTTTGTAAGATGATTTTTATCACCATTTTTCATATATGTATTGAGAGGTAAGTACCACATATGATACACATCAGTCAACTGTGAAACGATTCACCAATGCATAAAAAGCCAAAAGTCCCAATTTTCGAGTTATGCCCAATTTTTTAACAATCGGCTAAACCAAATAATAAGATACATGGGTTTTTGTTGAAACGCCTGTTAATCCGACGTGGCACCGTTTGTTTGAAAAACGGCCACGATTCCAATCAATGAGTTATATATTAAGAAATTTCACGTGGTTATACTGTTGAAAAATATTAACTTGGAAACATAAAAGGGAATATGAGATGACCCCTGAAATGCGAAATAACCGTAGCCCTAACTGTAGCAACTTTCACTACTTTTGGCGGTGAGTGTCCGTCCGGTTCGGAGCCCCAAAAGCTAAAAGAACTGAACAAAGTTGCAAACTGTAAAAAGGCCCAGCATCTGCTCTATCAAAGTTGAAGCTTAACACGACGACGACGACGACGACCGGGATTTACGTCGCTGGCTTGCCTCGCTTTGCTGCATCTGCACCTCTCGAAATCCCAACCCATCAGAAGAGAAGCCCCAAGGCCCCAAACCCAACACAACGTACGTAGTCATAGTAATACTCATTCATTCGGCTAATGGTGAATTTAATTTGGAATCCAGCCAAAGAATCACCGTGCACATGGAGAAGACGAAGTTTCTTTCTCTCTTTCTTTCTTTCTATCTTTTCAGTCGACAGCCGTGTACACTAATAGTTGTAAATCGTAATGCGAATGATATGGGTCCACAACCGGTTACGAAATCCCATACGAGACAAAAAAGCCTAGACCTTGAAACATGAACTCATCCAGTGGCCTCGACACAAGGTTTACCAGTTGGTCTGTAGATCGGGGGGAGCTCTGCTCTGTGTGAGACTGTGTGCAGTAGCGATGAATGATGATGATACCCCATACGAACACAGTCGGGAAGGGAGACTGTGAAGTCTCGCACTACAAAGCACTGTTGGAGGGCGGCGGGTGACTTAAGATTGTCGTCACGCGCGATCCTCCGTGAAATCTCTCGGGTGCCGAGCTGAGCTCCTTTAATTTCCATTTCCAGATTATTAAATATTAAATTAACCCTCAAAATATAAATAAAATCTGTATTAAACCCCCTCTCCCCCCAAAAAATTGCTGTTGCAACATATAAGTCAAACTACCTTCCGGTTAAACCCAAAACGAATCGGGCGGTTCGAATTCTGAACCAAGGACTCAAAAAAAAAAGGCTTCTGAAGTAGTCTGAACCAAAGCTTCTGACAGGAGTTGGATGGTCAGACCGGCCTGAAAAGTTGCATTCGAAGGCCAAGTTATTTGGGAGAAGATGATGGGGGCAATGTTTTGGTGTTATTTGGGAACTTTAGTTGGGAAGTTTTGTTTGTTTGACATCTTGAAAGGGAAAGTTTATGGGTGCTATTTTTATATCTTACTTGTGCTAAATAATTAAAAGAAAAGAAAAAAAAAGTTATAAATACAAAAACAAACAAAAAAGAAAGAGAGATGATGATGAAGAAAAAGAATAGGAGAGGTTGCATGCAGATTGACGAGATGATTTGATGTAAAGCTGCAACGCTGTATCTCAAAATCCGAGCAATGACGCGTCAAAATCACAAGGCATCAATCTCTTTGATGGTGATGGATGGATGGACGGGTAGATAGACGGGGTGTTTGATGGATGGATAGATGCATGCATAAGTGGGAAGAAATCATTTTCTGAGTAGAAAGGAACAGGAGCAAAGTTAAATTATAACTTAACTAATTTGATGGGCCTTGAGGGTGGCAGTTGGACACTTCAACTTGGGTTTTTGCCTTGTCTCACTTTTCTTTTTCTTTTATCCATTTTTGGAACCAATTGCGTTATTTATTTATTTCTAAGAAAGCTTTTAGCCTAGTCATGAATCATGATAGGTCTGATTTTTTTTGCTTTAATTTGATCTGAAAATACAAACAAAACAAATTTGTCAAAATACATGATGAGGGGTCTGTTTGTTTCTGTGAGAATGTACCAATGAAAGATGCATGATGGATCTCTCTCTGTTTTTTTTTTTTTTTTGCTTTTCTTTCGTCCTCTGTCGGTTTAATTTCCAATGAAGTTGAGTTGATGGTTTTAACGATAATAAACGTCATTAGGATCAAATGGATCAAGAGTAAGCACAGTGATCCGAGGGCATGTATAAAGTATAAAGTGAAGGGGTTGATTATTAGTACTACTACTACTGCGTCATTCTTTGTGCAATGATTTGTGATTGTATATTTTGGTGATAAGAAAAAGAGCTGAAAGAAACAAAGTTAAGAGGTTGAAAGGGACGATAATCTCTGGGTTGAGGTTAAAGACAGGAAAATGAGAACAAACAAAGGAACAAAATACACTGTGAGAAGGAAAAAAAAGAGAGAGAAAAGAGAAGACCGTGGATTTACCTTGTCTCTGTCGATCCGATTATTTAATCTGGTACTGCGCCTGACACATGAGATATGAAGCAGCCTTATCGATCCACGATCAAATCCTTCTCCTCCTCCTCTCATCAACTCCTCTCTCTTTCCCTCTCTTCCTCTCTCATTCTCTCTCCCTTTCTCTCTTTCCCTCTCTAAAAACTACTTTCTGTTCCCCCTTTCGTTTTCTTCACTGACAGAGAAATACCTGCACACTTTCTCACGCACGCACGCATACTCAAAGCCAGAACCCACCCCCTCCGTCCATCAACCCCATCTCCCTGTCTCTCTCCCTCTCTCTAGCGAGACGGATATGATAAGGGCTGCAGCTGCAGCAGCGATGGCAGAGAGAGCAGAGGAGTACAGAGCAGAAAACGCAGATTTTCCAGCCAGATCATACCTTATTATTTCGCCTTCCTCCTGCCACTCGATTCATCAAATCCGTGTGAAACCCATATAACACAACTCAAACGCAGAGTCTCGTCTTCATTTGCTCACTTTGCAAAACTAGGAGCAACCCAGTCTCACTCATCTCTTCGTCCCCACGTCCGATTCCCTCCGATGTTGATAAAATGCGGTGAAGTGTTGAGTTAATTATAGCTTCTTCTGTTAAGCCGTGTGATTTTTGCATCTGCGTTTTGGTTCAAAACTTTGGTACTTTGTTTCTTAGTTCTAGATTTATTAATGGGATTTTAATGGGTATGCCGTAGGGAGAGCTATTATTCCTTTCTGCACTTGATATCCATGGAAAGTTGGAACCCCTGTGTCCTTTTTGGGTGATATCCTTCCTCCTTATTAACTGCTTCTTTATTCTCCTCCATTACTATGTCTGGAAGATCAAGTCCTCTCTTTTTCCCTCTTCTTCAATATCCTACCTTCAAAAGTTCAACAATTGCTTCCTAAGCTCGGTCGGGTTCTTTCTAGTTTCTACTCTTTTTCTTTCTCTGCACGCAGCAGTCTAATTCCACTTTTGTAGCTTATTCTTTGTTCAGCAAACTAGGGTTAAATGGATAACTACCAGGTCTTCGACAACAGCGAAGCTCATTTGCCTCCTGGCTTCCGATTCCACCCGACTGATGAAGAGCTCATCACGTATTACCTTATCAAGAAGGTTCTGGACAGCAGCTTTACGGGCAGAGCCATTGCTGAAGTTGACCTTAACAAATGCGAGCCATGGGAGCTTCCTGGTATACTACACCATCTTCTGCTACCCATCAAGTTCTACTACTTGTATAAATGAAACTTCACACTGATTCTGAAAAAAAAATGTTGCAGCGAAAGCTAAGATGGGAGAGAAAGAGTGGTACTTCTTCAGCCTCCGGGACCGAAAGTATCCGACTGGGCTTCGAACTAATAGGGCTACGGAGGCTGGGTACTGGAAGGCCACTGGTAAGGACAGGGAGATTTACAGTTCAAAGACTTGTGCACTTGTGGGCATGAAGAAGACTCTGGTGTTCTATCGAGGACGAGCTCCGAAGGGAGAAAAAAGCAATTGGGTCATGCACGAATATCGCCTCGAAGGCAAACTCGCCTACCATTATCTCTCCAGGAGCTCCAAGGTATGATTCTTTCTCTTGTTCATTTATCATCTTTCTTCTTTTCTGTCTGTGTTTGTGGGAATGGAGAAAGGAAGTAGCAACTTGGGTTCTGGACTGTGATCTTTCTGGTTTACTAATTAACACTGCAGTTTCATTTGAAGAGGTTCCCCTCCATCTACGTCCTTGTAATCACATGTTGTATGTAAATACCTTCCCATGCAGCAAATCTGTTTTGGGTTTTGACAGTTTAACCACATCCCTTGATCTCACTCGTTATCAAACAGTTTCTGTTTGCCTTTTCAGAGATAAAAGATTGTTTCTTTTCTATCGTTTCATGTGGATATTGTGTTTGGTTAGATTTAGTAAATTAATTCAATTATTCATGCGACACCCCATGAACTTCTAGGATGAGTGGGTAATCTCGCGGGTGTTCCAGAAGACTGGTGGTGTTGGTGGGAGCAGCGGCAATGGAGGGAAGAAGAACCGTATTTCTTGTGGAGCTAACCTCTATCCCGACGTTGGGTCTCCGTCGTCGACGTCGCTTCCTCCGCTGCTGGATTCATCTCCCTACACCGCTTACACCGGGGCCACTGACCGCGAGAGTTGCTCATACGAGAGCGAAAGCGCAAGGGAGCACGTGTCCTGTTTCTCCACCGTAGCTGCTGCTGCTGCTGCCGCCGCCGCTGCAAACTTCAATCACCAGGCACAGTACCAGTTGGGATCACCTGCATCTATCATGAACGCAGTAGACTATGCCGCTCGATTCGGAAGGAACGGAGGTCTGTCGGCATTTCCGAGCTTGTCGCTGCAGGAGAATCTTCAGTTCCCCTTCTTCTTTTCGTCTGTGCCGCCGATGACAGCGATGTCTGTTGCAGAGAACCAAAACAACGATCTGGGTGGGTGCTGTTCGGCGAGAAACTGGCCGGAATCCGAGTATCAGAAGATGGAGACGAGCCGGATGCCGGTGGGAGCCACCGAGCTTGATTGCATGTGGACTTACTGATAAGACAAATCTCTCTGCACTCCAAATCCCTCTCATAATCGAGTTGTCTTGGTCTTGCTACTATGTTTTAGAAGTTTTATTATTGTTATTAGAGTATTATTAAGTTTAACTTTTTAAGTAGACTTACCTCGAAGTCTGAACTAATGGCGGTTATGTATCGAACAGTATGAATAGAGTAGTCTGGTAGTAGCTAGATACATATATATATCTACGTAGTAGTATGGTCTGTATTCTAAATGTCAGACTGTTTCAGATGTCAAAGGAATGTCCTTGGTTCTTTTCTGCTTCTCTCATTAGCTAGCTGTAATGAGAGCTGCTGGACAAGCTCCATCTTTCTCTAAAAGATATCAACTGATCATAATTATTGGTTATCCTTCCTTTCTCAGAACTCTGATCGTAACAGTGAATCAGTGAGGATCCCAAGCTAAGATTCGCAATATCTCGTATTTTCAAGAGAACGCGTTTTCTTTTAACATTGCTATGTAACGGTTTATGTTCATTATTATACGTGCATGAGAGTGGTCAGGACTCAGGATTCAGGGCTCCTGTTTCAGACTCTCAGGCGACGACCCGACAGCGTAGCGAAGCGTAAGTATAAAGTGGCCTTCTGTACACTTGATCAGACGATCTTGCCCCCAAATTAATCTTTCTTTAAGACTGTATCTAGCTTCTCTGAGAGTGGAGGCTGGAGCCTGGAGTGGAGACAATCCTTCAAGTTCATCAACCTGGTGTGCTCATAACCGATTAATAACCGTAAGGTGTATGATGCTTGTCCGATTAGAAGGGGGTATGGTTGCTTCCTTGAATATGATGAATGGGAAGAACTGGAAGGATGAATGATGCAAATGGGTAGGGTGGTCAGCCATTGGAAACTGTGGAGAAACACAGCTTTGGTAAGAGTGATGGACGATTATGTGGTAGAACAGAAACTTGATGGATAAAGTGAAATCTAGTTCCACAATCAGATTGCATGTGTTAATGGGTTGATAGATAGTTGCAGGCATTTCAGTCGTACGGATTGGGGTAGCGTGTGTCAATGCGGTAATGTACGGTAGAGATGGGGGGGTTTCATACAATTGGCACATGGGGCCTCACATGGGGGGTAAAGACAAACCATGAGCAGACGCCCCACCAATCATGGAGTAGCATGTGGAATTTCCACCTGGGTTGTTACTTTTGTCGTCGACTGCCCCTTTTTTAGGTGAATGATCATCCGTAGCGCCACACGAGGGGGAGTGGTGTCTGAGTCTGGAGTAAATGTTAAATGAATCAGAGTGAGGCCTGAGTGACAGAGTGAGAGAGAAGTGAGAACAGAGAACAGATAACTGTTCTGGGTGTGGGTCAGTTTGTTTACACAGAGGAGGGGAGCACGCGTCTTGCACATTATAGTATTCATTTTTGGTGCAAATCTCTGTAGGCTAGGAGTTTGAACTATGTGATGATGAGGATGCTACTGACGGATGATGGGTGTTGATCAATTGTTGAAGCGTAAGGGAACAGGACATTGCTCCAGGACATGATGAGGGCTAAGCTCTAATCACTACAGACACCAAAAGCTGGGGGGCGAACAGTTGCTTGTCTGTTTTGTGGGAATCACCCTACATTGGTTGGGGTTCAATGGTGCCATTTGGGTCCTCATCAGCTTCTAACAACAAGACCCTGCAATCAAATCAAACTGTATTGAATGGAAACTGGAACCCCATAGCTTGTCGTTGGAGGGTATGGGGATGACGACATGCTGCTATCTATTATTTTTTGAATTCCTTTACTTGTACCTAAAAGATGAAAAAAAAAGAGCTCTGCCTAGCTATTTAATTCATTTCCTTCATGTCAATCCAAAAAGCTCTTAATCCAACTATCTCCATTGCTAAGTTAGGTGATACTTTAGTACCATTGAACATTCCTCTTCTGAGATTTCTTAGAAATCGCCGATTTCTGGTCTCATTGGTTTCTTAAAAAATGAGAAAATTGTTTGTTTGGTAGTCATTATCCGGAGTGTTTTTTTTTCAACGGAAACTATCTTCTTTATCCATGTAAGATGCCACATCATCGAAAATGATGATTTTTATAACCATTTTTTAAGTGATTCGCCAAGTTCTCAAAAATTGACCAACCAAACAAGGAACAACGCTGAGCCAACTGGTTGAACTGTCAACCATTTAACCCAGTTCGATCTAGACCAGTTGTTGCTTTTCGACAAGTCATTCTGATTATGGTGAGTTTTAGTCTCAAATTAATGTTTTAGGTAGAGTTTTATTCTAATTATAATTTTATTTTATTTTTCAGAAATTATATCATATATAAACAATTATAATATTTTAAACGTCTTTTTTTCATTTTCTTTATGTATCTTGTTAATTTATTTTAATCTTTTATAATTTTTTAAACTTTTCTAAAAAAAAATGGGCCGAACAGGCATGGCGCCAAGACCCGCATGCCTATGTGGCACAGCCCATTACAATGCGGGCGGCCCACAAATACACCTATGGAAACACCACATACATCTGTGGCATCAAAATTGTTTTTATGGGCGGAGAGAATATCAATTCTGGAGCAATCGTTAGTTTTACATTAATTTACTCAGACATATTAGGTAGTATTAGTAACAGCATTTTGAGGTCTATTCAATGTTTCTCAAACCGAAAAAAAAAGGTGTAATAAAAAGCTAGAAGTACACTCATGTGAAATTGTACTATTACTACTTACTACCTATAATTGACTGCTGGGTCTCAAGGCTGTTAACAGTACTCTATGTGTATGGCCCAGCCTAGCATAGCTCATAATCGGGCCAAAAATTGGGATAGACCGGCAGCAAAAAGTTCGGCCCAATTGGCTCTATCTCCGGCCCAATTTACCGTAAGATAAAAAAAAAAATTTCTGGCCAATTAATAGGCATCCGATTAAATTATTTGGGTAGATGTATCTTATAATAAGTTATCAACCAGTTTTTTTTTCTTTTCTTTTGATTATACTTCAACTGTATATGCGTACAAGGAAATCGAATAGTTTGAATGTTCCAGAAGAAATTGTCAATTTTCGTATGGATATCATTAATTGCAATTATTTGGCAAATTGGGTCAGCAGCCTCTTTTGTAATATACTAATATGGTTCGGTTCCATAGGCAGCTGTCGATGCCATTCTATATTTTCCAAGTGTGTGTAGGGTTTTTTTGTTTGTACGAGATTTCATGCGTTAGTTCATAGTTCATACAGATCCAATGCAATAATAGAGTTCACATCTGTGCCAGACAAGAAGGCACCTGGCAGGGATGTGCTGTGGGACGTTGTGGGGCGCCCTATCGTGGGGTGCAGATCTGAACTCACAATAATATTGGTGCCAGATGCATTGTTGGGTGAATTGGAATAACTTTGGCTGTGTGGGGCGAGTGTTTTTAGACTGGGCACGTTTGCCCATGTCTTTTTTTTTATTATAGGAAAAATTCTCGATCAGTACTGTGTACTTTGGCTCAAGTGACACTTTGGTTTTCGAGCTTTAAAATACAACAACCCAGTAGCTGAATTTCCGAAACATGACAATCTAATACTTGCCGTTAATGGACCATCAGTTATGTATATCACGTGACCTCATGTGCAATTTAATACTTTTGAAAATGTCAAAATTACCCTTGAAAATAAAACACATTGTTCATCATCTTCTTCCTCAAGAAGATGAAATAGAGCCCAAGCTCTTTGTCAGAAACACTCCAAGAACAGAAAATTCCAGGTTTTATACAACTTATTTTAATTTTTTTGAACTTAACATAGTAATATTTTATTCCTATAGGTAAAAGAGAGGAGAAGAACTAGAAGCTTTGTATTGATACTTGAAAGAGAGAGAGAGAGAGAGAGAGAGAGATCAGTGATGGTGGTTAGAGACTTTTCTCTTTTTTCATTTTGCGGATAAGATAATTAGAGTAGTCAAAGGAAAACTTTTCTCCCAGAAATTGCTTTGGTTTTGATTCAAAGATGACAAAATATTCAGTGGAGAAGAAAGAAAAAAGTGTTGTCACAGGGATGAAAATTTTGACGGTTGGTTCTGATTTTAGTGGATGGTTAATAAAGAAAATTAGATGACACTTGAAGGGCATTTGTTTCTTTTCACATGACACTTAGCAATTAGTTAACGACAGGTACTAGATTATTGCATTTTGAAAGTTTGGGTACTGGATTGTTACATTTTAAAGTTTGGAAACCAAATTGTAAATCAAGCCAAAATATAAGATAATGATCGAGAATTTTCCCTTTTTGTCAAAATAAAATAGGGGGCAATTATTAATTTACCTACTTTCATGATAATGTGGTATTCCCAAAAGCAATCAACAGCATAGGCTGTTGGCCCCTAATAGCTGAGTAAGTGTTTGACATTGATGCATTGCTTCAGAGTCCATTTTCTGAAAAAACGATGTTGTATTTGTTGCACCATTTTCTGAGAAAATAGCTTCTTTTTTTTTTTTTTTTGACATTGATGCTGCCACATAGGATATTTTTTGGGAAAGACATGTTTTATTTGGTATCAATGTTCTATAATTGTTTACAACATTTGACCATATATCTAATGATTTACCAGTCCTCATGATACTATTGGCAGCAATGGTTATAAAAATGAGAAAACGCCACATTCAACGTTTTCTCAAACTACACTTTCCCAAATTCTAAGGCGTGTCTCTTTTCTGGAACAAGAGTTCCAGACAAGATTGTGTTTGTTGGTACATCGTTTTTTTTTATGTGGCGCAGACGTAAAATCGTGCAACGGCATCAATGCCAAACACCGTCTAAAGTTTTTTCGGCTGAATTAACATAAAGAGAGCCCTGTTGACAGCCCCAATCATACGAGCATGGACATCCAACTGCACATTAATAACATCTCCTGTGAATTTAATTTGAAAAATAAACACACTGTATAATTGCTTTGTAACACCGTTCGTTCGCTTCAACGCAAAGCAGCTGGCTGCATAATGGAAAATTAATAAAGCATTACGCAACAAAAGCTTGGGAGCAAAGTTTATGGATGACGACGTCAGTACAACATCCCCCCGCACTCTCTACAAAGAGGGGCCACGGGGATGCTGTTTTACCAAGTTATCCAAACCCTTCTCTCTCTCTCTCTCTCTCTGCCTCGCAGTGTCGGTCTGCTTTTGTTGGGTTCTGTTTGAAAGAAGAAAAAGATGTTGGAGTTGTTTCTATTGGGTTGTACGGGAGTCGTCGTATTCCTTCACGGAGCCAATTTCTTCTTCCACGCTCTCTCTCAACACATGGCTGTTCGATCTCTCAGGTACTTCTCTCTTTTCTTTTTCTTTTCCTTTTTGTGTTTCTTTGCTAATTCTAACCAAATCTGCCATTACTCTCCTAAAGCTTTGATCCTTCTTTTTATCCGGGTATGGGGACAGGATTTTGTAAAGATGCGCTCTTGATAATACATATTCTTTACTAAAAACTTCTCTGTTTTTGTGCGGGCAGTGTAAAATTGAGGGACTGGATTAAAATCAAAACTGGGGGCTTTAGGTTTTGTGAATACCGAATAAAATTACAAGCTTTGATCTTCCCCGAATCCGTGATTCAAGCAAAATTTCAGAAAAAAGTCGTTTCTCTTGTGTTTTGGATGCCCCAGCTTTTTGCACTATTTGTGAAACCAAATTGGAACGATGGATTGTTGAATCATCAACAGAAGCACGGGTAATGTTTATAATTCATGTGGGTTTTTGTTTCGTTTTGTTGCAGCTTCTTGGGATTTGTTGGATGGTGAAGATGATGGGCTGCGTGGACGCGGACGGAACGCCTGTTTCCGGGCGCCGGAGATAGCTTGCTTGCACCAACGTTCACGCTTGTAAATATTCTTTTTTTATTTTTTTTTTATTTTGTTGTGTCACAACTACGTGAAAGGATTATCTATCAGAAAACAATTACGTGAAAAGGAGAGGAGACGGAATTGTACAAGATTGAAATTCTTGTTTCTCCTTAACATTAAGCTTATTTTCTGAGTGAGGATTGAATGTGATTTTGTTTTGTCTCTGAGACAATGGAGAGGTGTCGGTGGTTTAATCAATTCAAAACAACGGTCGGTCACTGATTGTTGTTTCTCTTGCGGAATTGGTGGTGCCTTTTTAATATTTCCGTTGATTAACATGTTTAGCCGGCGGTTTCTAGGGTAGAAAAGATGAGGCGTACAGGATTTGGCTGAAACCTGGAAGTGGCCACGGCAGCATTTTGGACTTTCTTGTTTGGATCCAGAAGAAAGAGGGAAGAAAAGGTTAAGCTGAAAATCATATAATACTAATAAAACCCTAATCGCCAATTCACTTACCAGGAATGGATATGTTAGTTTAATGGACCATTGTTTTAATAAACTCAATCTGGGGATTCTTCTCAGGTTTGATTATTATTATTAGATGCATCTATAGAGGATAAGATTAGAAGAAGAAATGGTGCTTTTAATTAACAAACAGACATCTGATTATGCCGTTGCATCATCATCTTTAATAAACAACTTTACAGGTAGATAGATACCCAAGGCTTTCAAAACAATCTAAATCAATACAACTCAACGGGATGCTCTCTAGTCTCTACCAGACATGCAGTGAACGATTAGCATCTTTGACAAAGTGAGAGTGCTATTATTTTTGGGAGGAATAATTTGAAGGGGAAATTCTGATCGACTCGCTTGTAAGTTGTTACAACCCACTGCCCTCTAATCTCTACCTTTCATGGAGAGGAAGAAGACTCGTATAATAACTGTAACAAAACCATACACATTGGTGGGCGGCCCATAAAGAGTGATGACATGAAGAAAAGGCAATTTCTATGGTGCAGTTGGCTACACACAGCCAAGATTGGCAGCAAACAGAAGTCTCCTCCACACCCACCGACCCAATCAATTTTTATTTTCTAGCCCTGTTTTAACCCATGTTTAAAATGTTGAGATTTTAGTTGGAAAGCTGATTTAGGAATCTTGATTGGATGATAATTCTGGATTTGTAGGATTTCAAGAGATTCCTGTTACAAATCAGTAAATATGTATTATATTGACTTGAGATTGGTAACAAGGTCCTAGGAATTAGCAAATCAGCTTGCGTAAAAATTGTACCTTGTAGTGAATCAAGTTCCAGCCCTTGCTTTTTGTAAACAGATTTTAAGACTTGAACAAAATGTTCATCTTTGAGAAAGACCAATGCAAGATTGGACAATCTAGTACTCGATTGCATCATAAGATCAACCCTGCTTCAAGAAGAAGATTCCAGAGGCTCCTTGCATCTTTGGGGGGATGAACGAACAGGGTTGCCTTCCTGATACAGTACACAACGTCCCCCCCACAAAAAAAAAAAATAAAAAAAAAATAATAATAGAATCAGGTCCATCCCAGCAGAGTATTAATTGAGAAAAGCAACTCGTTCCAATAGAAAGAGACGGAGGGATCAGACTGATCTAGTCTAGAAATAAAAGAAAGAGAAGCAATCATCCATCAGTAAGTGATTTTGCAACAACCGAGTATCTAGCTGAAAAGTTAACATAAAACCTCACGTAATTACATCCAATCAAAGTTTCTGTGTGTGTGGCGGTGGGAGTGGGGGGGGGGGGAAGCTCGTTTTACAGTGAAAAGAGGCAAAACAATCATTTGGAAAAGGAGAAGAATTTCTCTGTTTTACAGCAGATTTGGAAAAAATGAAGAAAAATAAGATAATAACATATGTTGCTTCTCTTTTTCTTTTATAAAGATGACAATTTTATTATTGATAAAAAAAAAACACTTTTGAATTTATAGAAAGTAGTTATCAGATTGTAATGTAAAAGATAAAAAAAGAAACAATATTAGTAACAAGGTTATCAGAAGCCTCATTTGACAAAGGGATTGGCTTCTTCTAGATGAAGGCACTGAGCTCCAAACACGTATTAAGGTACTGAGGAGTGATAACTTCACAATATCTTTGTACACCCACAGCTTAAAGCCTCCAAAGTAATTTCCGTTTACATTTCATAGATACTGATTCCATTGAGCTTGTAAGATACCACTTCACTGAACGCCTCACCTACCCTTGTTTCAACTCCATACCTGGACACGGAACTTCAAGATTGCAATGGTTCTTCTCAATCACTTGGTTAGGATACATAGAATGGGGATTTCAACAACAAAACCACATGCACATTCTAGTTAAGAGTTATTAATTAGAAGCCTTACTGGTCCTCAATGGCTGTCATGAAGTCTTCACCAAGTTCCCATGTCCACCTTGATTTCTCGTAAGGAGAGAAGTCATGTTGTTCAAGAAAAACTTAAGGAATCATTGCCTCGCTTTTCTATTCCTTTTAGATTTAACCGGATGAGTTAATGAACTGTCATCATTTGTCACCTTTATCCCTTGCTCACCAATCCCCTCCTTCAACTTGATGTTCATAGCCTTCACCAGTAATTTGGTCCTTGGCTCTGGTATCATTCCTTTTGATGTCATCTCGTTGAAATAGTCCAAAGCCTCTTCTATCCTTTTGTTACTATAAAGTCCATGGATCATAATGGTGTAAGATCTCTGATCAGGTCCTAAACCATTTCTCTCCATCTCAATCCAAGTTGATTGTGCTTCCTCCCATTGGTTCCAGTTTATATATAAATTCAATAGCAAATTGTAGGCATCACTTGTCATCTTGCAGCCATTTCTCTCCATCCTCTTCAAAATCTCAGGAACTTCCTCAGGTTTCTTCATGGATTTGAGCAAGTAACCGTAAGTCCTAGCATTTGGCGTGCAGCTTCCTTTCTTCTGTTCCATTTCATCCAAGAGCTCATAAATCTTTTCCATCCTCCGAATCTTGCACAGGTGCTTTATGAGCGAGTTGTAAGTTGCAACATCCGGAAGGCAACCCCGTTCGTTCATCTCCCCAAAGATGCCAAGAGCCTCTGGAATCTTCTTCTTGAAGCACAGCTGATCTATGATGCAGTTGCAGATGGCGACATCTGGATTGCAACCCTTCTCCCACATGGACTGGAACAACTGAACTGCTCTGGTCAGCTTTCCTGCTTTGGTCAGGGAGTTTATAAAGGTCCCATACGTGAAAACATCGGGCTTGCAACCAGAAGAAATAATATCATTCCAGAACCTCTTTGTGTCACGTAAACTCCCCAAAACGCACCACCCATTAAGAATTATATTCCAGGACTTTATATTGGGAGGGAACTCATTCCGCTTTGAGTGGAATAGGAACTCAGCAGCTTCTACATGTTTGTATCTACAGAGGGACATGAGCAGCGTCTGGAATGCCATCAAGTCAACTTTCAGGCCAAACTGCTTCCTTTTGTAGAAAATTTCAATCGCTTCGTCAATCTTATGGCCCCCTGCATATCTGTTCACTAGGATCGCATATGTTCTCTCGTTAACAAGACCTCCTCTCTTTGACATTTCATCGAGCACTTGCTCCAACTGTTGAAAGCGCTTCATTCTCCCGAGAATGTCAAGCATCTCATTGTAAGCACCGGACCCCGGAGTGTAACCATCAACTCCTTTGGAGGCCCAATTAAAGAAGCCCAAAGCAGGTTTCCAGTCAGAGCGATGGCGCCGGAGCACGTGTAGAACTAAGTCCTCTGTAAGCGCGGAGCTGCAGCGGTCTAGAGCTCGTTCAAGCTCCTGGACAGAGCTGCCAGCATGTTTCTTGAGGAGGTTTTGAAACGTCAGAGCATTCTTTGCCAAAGTGGACTTGTCAAGATCATCAGCATTGGCAACTGGAGGAGGAGGAGCAGAGACAGCACCGTTGACTGTAAATTTCTCGGTGAAAGTTTTACTGTTAGGGTTTATTTCAACGGACAAATCCCGGTGGTTTGCGACGTAATAAAAGATCTCGGTACTGGGTTTTAGCATAGAATGTTGCTGGAGGTAAGGGCATAAGATTTCCCGGCAAAAAATAGCTTTCAACGGTTGTAAGCTGCGAATGCGATACATCTCGGCCTTTCTATATGGTAGTTAAGCTGCAGAATGCTCCCTTCGCCTTAGCTAATTCAAAATTTCGTTAAGGCGATCTATAACGATAAAAATTACGCTTTTCAGAGCTTCAATTCAACCACGTTGTTAGACTTCAGAGTTGAGGCTAACGGCAGACAACGGCACACTACACAAAAGCGTAGGCGACAAGGCCGAGAAATAATAGGGCCCACCTAATTGAGTTCGGAAATCAAATTGATGGGATAGTAGCCGTGTGATTAGTCATCCTAGAAGTGAATCAAGTGATAGAAACGCCGGAAGGTGACTTATTAGATAGTTAATGGGAGATAGGATCTGTTCCTCACACAGGCGCCTCACACGCACATCATCCTACTATGCATTGGGAACATCTCCCATACTTGTATTTACGGGAGATGTTCTCAATGCACGGTGGATGTGCCTGTGAGGCGCAGATCCCGTAGCCCATCGTAGCATCTTTTTAGTTCTCACTTAGAAATAGAATCGGAATCGGATATATAAGTCCTAACCGAGTTCAATCAAGTGAGCAACTAGGCGGCCACGTGTTTTAGATCTTTTTCTGTTATAACCGCCTTGTTGTTGTGTGCCTTTGGCTAACACCCGCATCAAGTTGGACGTGAGAAGCAACGCCTAACTTGAATAGTAGCTGCTAAAAACGGTCTGCACCTAGAGATGTGTACAGTTTGGATCACTTGTTTTTGGGTGTATTTATATACAAAAATGACAATCAATGTCTATGTGTTCTGTACGTTCATGATAAACAAGATTGGCCACAATGTGAATGGCAACCTTACTGTCACTGTCACAATGAAGCTCCAATGGGTCTCCAAATGGTGATCGTAAGGTCAACAAGAATCCTCCTTTAAGCCATAAAAATTTGGAGGTGGCAACTGCCATATAGTGCGATACTCAGCCTCTGCAAAAGAATGTAAAACAGTATGTTGCTTCTTGGTTTTCCATAAAAGAGGTGAGTCACCTAGGAAGGTGTTGTAGCCTGTGGTTGATCTTGGGGTTGTAAATCACTCTTGGTTGGTAAACATAACCCTTGTGTGGTTGTAGCTTGAAGGTAACGTAGCACCCGAAGTGCAGCATCAAAATGTTCTTCATGGGGATCTTGCATGAATTGACTAAGGGAGTGGACTGCAAAGCTAACTTGGGCCTAGTAGTAGTGAGGTAGACCAATCGGCTTACCAAGCGCCTATAACAGGCGAGATCAGAAATAGGTGGGCTGAAAGCATTAGTGAAATGTTTTTGCTGCTCAATAGGGGTGGGACATGGTTTGCATTCAAGCATGCCCGATTCAGTGAGGATATCAAGAATGTATTTGTGTTGATGTAGAAAAATGCCATCATCAGTTCGACATACCTTGATCCCCAAGAAGTACCGTAAGGGCCCAAGATCTTTTGTCTTGAAGCAATCATAGATGTAGTCCTTAAGAAAAGCAATACGGGTAGGATCATCTCCCGTAATGATTAAATCATCGACATACACAAGGATAGCAACATATGAGTTGGGATGTTGAGAAGTGAACAGAGAATAGTCAGCTAAGAATTGTGTGAAACCAATAGTAATAAGAGCTTGTGTGAATTTGACAAACCACTATCAAGAAGCTTGCTTGAGACCATAGAGGGATTTGTTTACCTTGCAAACACGAAAATCATCATTGGCAAGAAGGCCAGGGAGAGATTTCATGTAAACTTTTTCATGAAGATCCCCATGTAAAAAGGCATTGTTAACATCTATTTGATGTAACTCCCAATGCTTCACAACACCTATTACAAGTAGGCAACACATGGTAACTAATTTTTCTATAAAAGCAAAAGTGTCATGGTAATCTAGCCATTCAACTTGATTATAACCCTTTGCTATAAGTCGGGCTTTATAACGATATATGGAGCCATCAACCTTCAACTTAAGCTTATAAACCCATTTGCAACGTATAGCCCTTTTGCTAGGGGGAAGATCCATGAGTGTCTATGTATTGTTACGATCTAGAGCTTCAAGTTCATTAACCATGGCAGCTTGCTAATGAGGAAATTGGGTAGTTTGAGAGCAAGTTGTGGGCTCAGGGGGATGGTGTGGAGTAGTAACAAGTAAAGCATGGTGGTGAACGAGTGGGACGTGAAATAATAGTTTCAGGTTGGTGTGAAGTATCATGAATAAGGTTAGGCTCATTTGATGGTTCAAGGTTGGGTCCACTATATTTAGTAGGATTGATCATGGGGCTTGTAGCCGCATGATTATAATTGTCATCAGAAGCAACACCATTATGACCATGAGACTCATTGAGAGGCTCATTACTGCATGGAACAAAATCACACCCATCATCTGGTTGGGCCAATAGGAATGACAGTTTCAGTGAGACTAGTAGTTGATACAATTGCAAACGGGAACTCAGTTTCATAAAAGGACACGTCTTGAGAAGTGAATATTTATTTGGTGTCCAAGTTGAACACCTTATACCCTTTCTAACATTTGCTCAAAAAAAAAAAGAAAAATATATACCCTTTCTAACCATATGGATAACCAATGAACATGCATCATGTAGAGTAGGATACAAATTTGTCATGAGGAGCTGGCCGTATTTGTGCATAGCAGAGACACCCAAATACTTAGAGATGGCTATAATTGGGTGGGCAAAGATGAAGCTTTTTATACGGAGACTTGCCACCCAACATTGGCATGGGCATAATGTTGATAAGATAGGTTGCTATAAGAAGACATTTACCCAAAAAAGAAACTAGGAGATTTTCTTGAAGATGAAGAACACATGCAACCTCCAATAAGTGCTGGTGCTTGTGCTCGACAATGCCATTTTGTTGTGTCATATCTACACACGACCGCTGTGGATAATACCCTTTTGTTGAAAGAAACTTTGTAAGGGCCCATATAAAATTTCAAGGTTCTTGTCAGATCAAACCTGTTGAATTGAGCACTTGTATTGTGTCTCAACCATTACACAAAAATTAGTGAGGAAATGGAAAATCTCATATTTATGTTTCATAAGAAATGCCTATGTACACCTAGTAAAATCATCTACTACAATGAGAAAAAAATGTGAATTGGTATGAGAAGGGGTTTTGTAACCTCTCCATATATCACAATGCAACAACTAGAATGGAGTACTACTACTAATATGGCGCATTGATAGGCATCACAACATACATTAAGTGGTGAGAGAGCAATCTCGGGGAGTAAGGATAAGTGAGATTTGGAGGCATGACCAAGGCGCCTATGCCACAATTCATAAGATGATGTGGAACTGGTGAGATGAACAGATATGTGAGGAGAAAAACGGATGCAGTAAAGGTCGTCTTGAATTTCACCTATTCCAACCATGGTCCTTAAGACATGGTCCTATGTGACATAGTGAGTGGCAAATAAAGACACAATACACCGAGATTGTTGAGTTAGTTTACTGGCTGAGAGAAGATTACAAGTGAAAGCATGGACATATAGTACATCACTAATAGAGAAACTAGAAGCCGGTGAGACTGTGCCATGGTGTGAGACAAAAGCAATAGCACCATTGGGTAGATGTACCAGTTTTAAATTAAACATTGGGGAGTAGTAAAAAAATAGGGATATATCTGATATAATGTGGTTGAATGCACCACTATCAAGAACCTATTCAACAGGGATGGTCTTACTGGAGAGATTAGTTGAAGTCTCTATTGAGTCTTTGTTGAGAAGAGAAATTAGTTGGTTATACTACTACGGTGAGAGTCCAATAACAAGGGAATCTTGATTGGGTTTATCAGATCCAGCAGTCACAATGTAAGATGTTGTCTTATCAGATCCAGTTGGAGGACGTGTATTTTTGTCAGAACCAGTAGTTCAATGGGTCCAATTAGGGGGATACCCAATGAGCTCATAGCACTTATCTCTTGTGTGGCCTGGATGCTTACAATGATTATAGTAGGGTCTGTTCTGACCCAATGGATGACCAGGTGGTTTGGAGGTAATGTGGAGAGCCGTGGCATCAAGATTGGATGGACTCCGCAAGGAAACAATTAATTGATGACGCTCCTCTTGTATAATAAATGCATAGACTTGATTCAGTGGTGGCATAGGATCAGATCCAAGAATATGTGAACAGATCATGTTGAAAGGATATCGGAATCCCATGAGAAATTGATGGATCCTTCTCCGTTCTCGATCAGCAAGGAAGAATTTCATCGCACTACAGGTACATTTAGGTAGATTCGTGAGAGTGTCAAGCTCATCCCATAGGATTTTCAGATGAGTAAAATAGGCAGCAATAGAGAGATCTCCTTGTCGAAGTAAGGTGAGATCTTGTTCAAGTTGATAGATATGTGGGATACCGCTTTGACCAAATCGTTCTTCAAGTTCACGCCATATTTTTTCCACAGATGCAATGAAAGTGACACTGTAATGAATCTCTTTTGTCAGTGAATTGAGAATCCAAGAGGCGACCATGGAGTTACATTTACTCCAAATCTCCTCTTCCGATCCAATGAAGACAATGGCGGTTGCATTAAAGAACCGCCAACAAACTTATTCTTTGCACGAAGTGCAATCTTCATTGCACGCTTCCAAGTGTGGAAGTTATCACTGGTGAGTGGATTTAACATGAATTAGTCATGGATTGTTATATATATATATATATATACCTTATTCCCGCAAACCAAGCAGGCTCTTAGATTCTTAGCCGTTGATTGTAGTTAGAACAGATCATAGTGATTTAATCAGAGATTTGAGTTAATTGCGGCTTCTTGAAAGCTTGAATCACACCATAGATGAATTTGCTGAAATCACAGTTCTATGGTCCGCAAAGTTGAAATCATAGTTTGCCCAAGCTCACCCTGAACCGGTTCTTGAGTCACTGAAATCACAAATAGAACCGAACAATGATTTTAGCGCCAACCGTGGTTGAAACAATACGATTATATTGTATTAACCAATGTGCAGTGTTTCTACATGTATGAAAGACACAACAGAAACTAAGTCGTTTGCTTGGCAGTTGACATCAACCAATGATCCAGAGTAATTTCTCTGGCAAATGGCATCCCCTTGAATTTGCCAAATAAATTTCTATACATCTAGCCAGATTTACAACAAATTTTATGAAGCCCTTTAAACCCCCCTCAGCCCATTCAAAATTACAAAAAAGAAAAAAAGGTTAGTTAATCTTCATCATCGGAAATTATGGTCAACAATGAGTACTTGACTTTCAGTCTGATCTTCCCACCTTCCACACATAGCTTTGCTCCAGTGACCACCCAATATCCAGGCAGGTCCTCCGGGCCTCTTACCATTTCCTTCGTGTCCACAAAGCTTGACAGCTTTGGCATCCTCTTTTGGACAGGAGGTCCCCTCGGGTACAATGCTGAATTTATCTCCACTTTGTTTGGCTTCTCAGCTGGAACCTGCGTTGCACTAAATCTTGTGCTGATCATCGCTGAGATGATGCCTGATTTCCGAGATTGATTGCTGGGGCCATCCCACTCCGACCTACGGATCCTTGCAGATGCTACCATTGAGAAGCCAAGTCTCAAGAATAGAACCTTTCTCATCCCAACTACCCTCACCTCAAACCAGGCCTTGGTTACTATGGAGGGAGATTCATCAATACAGGCCCCATTGTACTGAACTGGTGCTGTGCAGACATGTGAAAAAATGCTCCATTTGACAGGCTCAAAGTAGGCTCGATCAACAGGCTCATCATCAGGCTTATGGCTGTAATCATCAGAAATTTGGAGGATCTCCGGAAGTGTTGCAAGATGTTGGAGATGGATTGCCAGGTACTCACTCCTCCGACCTTCCAAGTATAATCGGATTCCAGTTACTGGCCGATTTCCAGAGTCAACCTGCATGTGGTGGGTTTAGGAAGCTGGATACAACTAGGGTTATGCTTTACTGGATGGTATCTACCCAAAATTTTAGAGAAACCATTACATTTAGATAATTAACTACATATGCAGTTTCTGTGAGCAGATGCTACACATATGAGATCCTAAGCATGAAAACAAAAGTTTATCAACTGTCAATATCTGATGCAACCCACTATAATAAAATCACAAAAAACGTTTTTTTGTCACATTAAGCAATGCTGTCAAAGAAAGGCATGGTTTAAAATGTCCCTAAGTTTCCTAATATTTCTACGACATATTTCCATTTCCATGAGTAGCAACATAAAATTTTAGTGTAATCAACACATTCCCCAATGAACACTACCAACACTATACGAAGTACAAGAGATAGTATTATAACATAAGTTGGTGACAATATTGTAGATATGTAGAGTACCAATGTTATTACCTGACTAACTTGCGTGATTACTACTTTGAGTCAACTTGATATTCATTTCAAACATTAAGTTAAATATTTGCTTTTTTTGTGTAATAGATTATTCGGTTGATCTATTAGAACCATTTGTTTAATGATTTGGAGCAAGATAATAATTTAAAAAGGTTTGCTATACTTCTTTCATCATTTCATAAAATATTATTCTATATTTTTGCATATTTTACAATGTTTTCATACTATATTTCCAGCATGTTTCCTTTTTTTTGGACAACTGACATTTCCACCGCCACCGACATTTTAAACCTTGAAGAGAGGTGTTCTCAAATTACATCACAAGTATTCTACTATGTCACTATACAAAGTGAATACTGCACTTCTGACGCATGTGGTAAATATTCTTTACCAAAACAAAAGCCCGACTTCTTATAATCTCTTGCAAGCTTTTAAGCTTCTTGTGTTAGTGGGGTTTCCACTTTAATAAGCCATGCAAAGCATGTGCCTCCCTGCTAGTTACCATATCAAAAATCAACTTCATCAAATGGAACCACGTTGAAGTTTCTAGACCAATAAATTGGCACAAAACTTAGTTGGACACATCAGATTCTAATTGGCCTCACAAGATTAGTGAGTAATGTGAACTTAAGCAACATTAATTAGTTAATAAGGTGCTTGCTGTATTATTGAAAACAAGGAAGCATCCATGAAGAGCCTAGTAGTTAATTGTGATTTTTTTCTGCCCTGAAGACCAAATATAAAGATCATTGTTTTACTGACCCATATATACAATTATACACTAATATATCTGTAGGCCATGTCATCAAAACAGAAGACATGAGATATTCTGTATGCTCCCCAAAACCAACGAACTTCCAGCATGTAATCTGCCAAAGCATATTTTTCAATATTCTTAATTAATGAATACACCCATCTCATGCATAGGAGAACAAAAGACTTGCCTGGTCTGTGTTGACATAAAGCTTAGGGCCCATGAAGGTGAATTGCAATGATGGAGATCCATGTTTCCTGCGTTGAGGTCCAAGTGGGAGATCACCATACACAGGAGCCCATTGCCTAGGTAACTGGAATTCTAGAAATTGACGAAGTTCTTCTATTGGTGGCTTATCTGCATTAAATATCAATCCCCAGAGCAGAAAACAGCCAGTTCTTGGTCAAAGGAACACCAATGTAGATAATCGAGAAAAATGTAAGATATTGATACAATACATAAAACAGACAGATAATATTAACCTTCAAATACACATCAAACAATTGACTGATTCTAAATAAGGCCTAATTTCTTAGTAAAAATAGCAAAATAAAAAGATTGGGAAAATCCAAAACTACAATAAAAAAACATTTCATCATATCACTTTGAAAAGTTAGTTCTTTGACTTTTTTTTTTGTTATTTATTTTCAAAAGATAGGGGCCACTACTTGGTGTAGTGGTAAAGTGGGTTGACAAGCATGAGAAGACAGGTTTGAGTCTGAGGGCAGCCTTGGGACTATATCCAGTGTACCCCTCCCAAGACCCAAGATAGCTGGGACCAACATTGGATAATGTAAGACCCCAGATGAGAGGATGTCAGTTATGTAAAATATGTAAGACCAAATAGCTGAACTCCTGCCAAGGACAGAAAAACTAGTTAAGACTTGAGCTGTCATTATACAAAAAAGGCCCCTTCATGCATCTCCCTATGTGGTCTGTCTTCTGGAGAGTTTCTCTCTGTTGGGATCTACTTAATTTGAGAAGGGATAGACACCAAGCATCCTCTAACTCTATTAAGGTAGTGAGTAAATTGCAATGGAACATCCCCAAATTATTTTACTCCATCTAATCACATTGGCCAAGTATCCTATTACTGAGAAAAGACACTTGATTAGCTATCTTAGCTACCATTAACAGAGCAAGAACCTCAGCCTTGGTTGAGTTGTGTAATGTTGGAGATGTTGCATGGACTCTTCTAAATGAACAACATGTCCATGTTGGAGTCCCATACAACACTCCATGGATTCTTGTGGGAACTTCTACATAAATGTTCCTTTTTATCTCCTATCTTATTTGATATGATAAACAACGTACAAGATGAAGGCCATTTTTCTTATAAAACACTATTGGGTAAAAAAGGAAATGTTTTATACCCCACTTGCAGGTATATAATGTTCTATTTCAGAAAAAAAAATGAAATATAACCTTATCCACAAGCATCAATGTTTCAAGGAGATTAATTTAAAGGCTCAAGATATTCACTCACAGCGGAGGTAAAGATTCATTGCATGGCATAAGAATCCACTTCCTTGAATTCCACTTAAGAGAGAAACTATAGGCACAAATGTCATTGATATGACATTAGGTGACTGTGATATAGTTGAAAGCCATTGGTTATGACCTTGACCCCCATCTATTCCTCCCTTTCGAACAGGAACAATGACTATATCCTGCATGAAGGAAAGGAAAAATACCAGCTTTGCTCAAATTGAACTTCCCAATGGATGCATTTCTACAAAGAAAGTCTGGGAAAGAGAAAAATGAAGATGATAATGTTACAAATGGAGAAGCTCACATCCTTCTTTGAGTGAGAAATAATGGGGGATCTCATTGAGTTTGCAATAGCAGCATGACATTCCCAAGGCATAAATTGTGTGTCCTGAAAAAATGTCAGTTTTGAGTGATTAGACTAACAATTTCTCCTAATCATGTTTATGTTTTTTTAACCTTTTTCATTCCTTTTGTCATTGCTAACCTTAGAATCATCAAATGCTCACCAAAGATCAAGTATATTAGAATAGATTAACAGTATTTTAACTTTTACTTTTTTATTTACATTCTTCTTTTAATATATTGCTACTATAGAAACCTCAAAATTTCATAGACATCTATTTTATCTGCAGATATCGACACAAACACATAATTTCAGTATTTCCATTTCAGCTAATCTTTCAATAAATTATGCAATTTAGAGATACAGTTATATTATAATGGTTTTAGATTTTGTCTATATTTTTTTTTTCATTTTTATTTTCATTCTATAAAAGAAGATTAATCCGTCTTGTGATTCATCAAATCAATGTGCATCTGATATTGTCTAGAGAAAATAGTATATTTTCTTGTATAAGCAATTTCGCCCTGTTTTCCTTTTAACCACAAGAAGCTATGGAAAGTAAAACATAACTTTACATGAGAATCTTGGAATATTACCAAATTCTAAGTGTTCCACTTTCCTTTGTTTCCCCATTTTTGTAACTTTTTCCCTCACTTCCTTCTGTTATTATATTAAGAAACCACACCTTCATCCAAGGCTTTTACCCATGGAGGTGCAGAATAGCATTTTTTCTTCTTTTTCTTTTTTGTTAAAAACATAAAAAACATTAATAGCAAAAGAAAATCTACAAGATCAGACAACACATAATAACATTTTTATTTGCAATATAGTATGTGTGTGCATTCCAATTAATAATTTACAATTTACAGATATAGTTATATTTTAATGGTTTTAGATTTTTTCTATATATATTTTTTATTTTTTATTTTCATTCTATATAAGAAGATTAATCAGACTTGTGATTCATCAAATCAATGTGCATCTGATATAGCTTAAAGAAAGTAGTATACTTTCTTGTATAAGCAATTTCACCCTGTTTTCCTTTTAACCACAAGTAGCTAGTAAAAGTAAAACATATCTTTACATGCATGTCTTGGAACATTATCAAATTATAAGTGCTCCATTTTCCTTTTTTCCCCCTTTTTGAAACTTTTTCCCTCACTTCCTTCTGCTATTAAATTAAGGAACCACACCTTTACCCAGAAGGCTTTTATCCAAGACATGCATGTAAAGATAACAAGGGAAAAGCATAAGTTTGACTTTTTACAAGATCAGATATGTTTGATAATGTTCAAGATAACAGAAAGTTAATAGAAAAAGTTTAAAAAGCATATCTTTACATGCATTTCTTTTCTTTCTTGTTAAAAAGCATAAGAAAGTTAATAGAAAAAGAAAATTTACAAGATCAGATAACACATAATAACATTTTTATTTGCATATAGTATGTGTGTACACTCCAATCAAAGTTTAAATGTTAAGATCACATCCTAGTGCAGTTGATATTCTATACATCACTTGACACCAAAATATACTAGAAGAAAAAGCAGCACAAGTTTGACTTTTTATGTCCTCATCTAAAGGAGGAACACCCAAACATGGTAATATTACCATCAATTGCCCCACTGCAAAGTCCATGACCCACACAATCTCAAACTCTACACATCACCAAGAATATTATGATATAGGAAGCAAACAGTTGACACTTAACTTTTGTGGTGAATTGTTTATTTATGCCTCTTGACAGTGTAGCCGGCCAGAGATAAGTGGAAGAGGAGAGAAGAGAAGAGAAGAAGAAGAGAAGAGAAGAGAGGAGAGAAGAGAGAGGGTTTGCAATGTAACAGTACTGGTGGCGCCAGTGTTTATTTTACTATATATAGGGCGACAGAAATAACAAGGGAAAAGACCCTTGTGCCCCTGAGTACAATAACAGAAATAAAAAAACGAAATAAAAAAAATACTTTAATTAGCCAAACAGGCCCTAACATTTGCAACTAAGTTATTTTAACATTATTCCACCAATGCCTAAATCTGAAGCTAGAAGAGTAACTGTCTCAGCTCCATCACTCTACATGTGGTCCAAGCTTTGAGGGGGCAAAATTTTGCCCATTTGGCTTGATTTTAATACCATTAGATACATAGTTAAACCATACATAGGACATGCCCAATATTATGCAACTGGAATATTAATTAAGTGGACTTATGAACAACTAATAATAAATAAGATTCTTAATTATTACGTTAAAGTTTATTTTAGGATTATTTGGACACATATTGGTTTTAGAAGTTCTTTTATTTTGAAAAAATTTATGTCAACTTTGTAATGGGTCAAAAGAATCAATCTTTAGAAGTATTTAGGAGTTTCTTTGGAATTTCAAAGTAAGACAAACTTAAAGTTAGTTTTAATTTTTTTCCCAGAGATTAAGAATCTTCAGTTTATTAAGTATGGCAATGACCTATTTTTATTGATGAGATTGATACTCAAGAATTTGTAATAGTATTTACTAGGATAATACTCAAGAATTTTTGTTCTTTGTGCCAACTCAATTAAAGGCCTCATATGACACATCTTTGATTCCCTAAGGAAAACCATTATTATTAACACAAAAAAAATTGGAATTCCAAGTACCTTCAATTTTCTTGATAGTTCATCAGCATTGAGGATCAAGCCTCCATTGACATCTTCATGAAATCTCTCATCAGCTAACTGCTTTAAAAGCTTCTGCACTTCATTTGGCTGGAGATTTGAGTTCTGTAGCTGCTTAATATGAATTACATCCTTACCTCCCATCTTCACTCCAACAATAATATGAGTACCATATTTTTCAATAAACCTGAAGAATCATGTTACGGAAAGGAAAATTCAGAAGCAGGCACTATGTAGAACAAACATGCATACTTTGAAATTGAAATACAATGATTTAACTGAAATTTATTTGCAATTAAACATGAAAAAGTAACTTATTGACAAGTTGTGCTGCACCTAGTCAATAAAATTTCATTTTCCTTTAAAATAAATGGTCTATTCTCCAATCAATTCAAAGCAAGAACCCATTCCATGTTCAAGAGTTCCGCCATTCACATTTGTTAGTCACAAAAAGAAGGCCATTACCCAATGTTGGTCCCAGCCATCTGGGGTCTTGAGAGGGACAGACTGGATACAGACCTAATCTTTGGCATTTTTGCACAGTGGCTGCCCTTAGACCCAAAAATGCATTCTCATGCTTGTCAACCCAAGATTTTACCATTACACCAACCAATGGTCCTTATTTGCTAGAATCCCACATCTAAAAAATAATAATAATATAAAGAAATAAAAGGAAAAGAAGAAAAACTGCATACAACCATATTTTCCCTTGAGAAGCTCCAATGTGATATTTTGTGGGAAGGGGGTGGTGAGAGAAAGAAACATCTAGTTGGTTGGGATCAGGTTTGCAAACCCAAGGAAATTGGGGGTCTTGGCCTAGGACATATCAAGGAAAGGAACCAAGCTCTTTTAGGGAAGTGGCTATGGAGATTCCCAATTGAGATAGATGCTATGTGGGCTTCTATCATCAGCATTAAGTATGGAAGGCATGCCAACGGTTGGGATCACAAAGTGCAGTTGAATCGAGTAAAAGCTTCTAACCCTAGGAAAGGTATTTCTTTGACTTTCGCCTCTTTCATTTCTTTCACCAGATATAAAGTGGGTAATAGGCTGAAAATCAAGTTTTGGACTGATCTTTGGTGGGAGAGTACCCTAG